CTCCCTGTGTAATTCTGTCTGTTTTCCTCAACTGGAGGGAAATTCACATGACTTCCTAATGTCATTATTTGCTGAGAGTTGGGGCTGAAAGCTAAAGAACACACCCTGAAGGGAAGGGGGGGTCTGTGTGACCGAAGAACAGGGTCTTATTGAACTCATGCCACATTAAAGACAGCATGTGACACTGACTGTGACAAAACAATTCACATTTAGAACAGCTTCAAAACATGGAGGAGGAAACCCAAAATGAAAATGTACTCACCCACTTATGCTTCCTCACATGGTTCCAAGGCTTGGACTGATGGAGGAGCAGCTGTCAATCTCAACTAGTGGATCAATGATGTCGTTGAAACCTGCCGTGATTTAAAGGAAACTCAAATTCAATTCTCGTAGATATCTCGGGTTGAATTCAAAGATCAGGGGTCCGTTCTTCGTACGTGGATTACTCAATTAGCTGGATTTGGTTATTGACATGATCCAGAATCGTTTCGTTCTTTAAAACTGATCTGAAAGTTGTTGTCATAGCAACAGTTCTGCTAGCTCAAACCTGGTCGGAAGCAGGTTTAATTCATATAAACAGGATTAGATCGGCTCAGTACAAGCTAAGATAATACAGAAAGTATGTACCAAATTCTCAAACTTTCTTACAGTACTAGTTATATACACTTGGGAAAATACTACATTTTTAAAACTATATAAAGTTATAGTTATTAATAAAATAAATTAAGTTATATATTAATAAAACTTATGCAATCTGCACCCCCGAAATGAAAGTACAAAGACTGCCACCTGGTGGTGCAAAGAGAAAACTTATTGATATGAACTTTTTAGATCGCTTTAGTACAAATTGTGTATAATAGAAATGCACAATATGTGACTTTTTAAAAGCGATAATACTATTATGCAGTCATAAACATGTTTTGACAGTTAATATGCCGGTAATTTGATGTTTCATAAAAGTTGCAGACACCTTTACCAATATAAAAATGCTTTCGTAAACATCCAGTTATTCTTTACACCAATTTAAAAAGCGGCTACTATAATACTACTATGGGTACTATAATAAGGAAAATCCGCTCTAACTTTAAAACTTATATAATAAAAATAAATAAACTGCTCTTGACACATAAAAGGGCCAATCATGCAGCCCACAGCAAGATGTTAATTTATTCTGTGGAATATTTAACAAACCGTTTCCAATGAATTTGATGTAATTTTGCTCGCATGGATAATTGAATATTAATCAGATGATGTCATTACGCTGCTGTGCCGTCAGCCAATCATTGCATTGCTGATCATGATTTCGAGGATCGATAGATCAGTCCTTCACAACACACGCAGCGATCTCAGATCAGTTCTTCTAGACATTTTAATCCAATTCACGAACTTGTTTGAAAACCCAAATTAGCCAGAGATCAGTTCTCAAGATTAAAAGATCCAGAATCTGCCAAATCATCTTAGATCATTTAAGAAAGCTACGAAGAACGGAACCCAGGATAGGGTTTGATCAAGCAAGTTGTAACTGATCGGAATGGGCTCTTATTAACCCAAACTATATTTCAGCTGTCATGCTGGTGATGTGCAGCAGGTGGCTGTAAACACTTCAGTGGAGCAAGTGAATCTAGTGCAATCTTAAATTGCATATTATTATTTTATTTGTACTTTTACCAAAAATATATCCCAATTAGCAGGCGTAGCACGGTGGCTCAGTGGTTAGCACTGTCACCTCACAGCAAGAAGGTCGCTGGTCGAGTCCCCGCTGGGCCAGAAGGCATTTCTATGCGGAGTTGCATGTTCTTTCGGTTTTTGCCAGGATTTCCTCCGGGTGCTCCGGTTTCCCCCACATTCCAAAGACATGCGGTACCGGTGAATTGAATAAACTTAATTGGCTGTTCTGTATGAGTGTGCGCGAATGAGTGTGTATGGGTGTTTCCCAGTACTGGGTTGAAGCTGGAAGGGCATTCACTGTGTAAAACGTATGCTGAAATAGTTGGTGGTTTATTCCGCTGTGGTGACCTGTGAAATAGAGACTATGCTGGAGGAAAATGAAAGAGTAAATGAATGGGCTTACTGGCATGGAACATGGAACAGGAAGGCATTCCTGTTTTAGTAACTATATCAAAACGCAATGTTTAATTTAAAAAAGTACTTCCTTTAGACAACTTTACAGGTGATTCTCTCAGTATTTAGATTTTTTCAGATTCCAGATTGTCAAATAGTTGTGTCGTTTAAATAGTCTTTTTCTGACATATAATACTTCAGTGAAAACGTATTTATTCAGCTTTCAGGTGGTGTATAAATCTCAATTTCCAAAAACATTGACACTTATTACTGGTTTTGTGATCCAGGGTCACAAATATTTTCTCAATTAACTAACTAAAAGGGCGGCACGGTGGCTCAGTGGTTAGCACTGTCACCTCACAGTAAGAAGGTCTCTAGTTCTAGTCCCAGCTGCGCCAGTTATGTGGAGTTTGTTCTTCCACTGTTCGCTTGGGTTTCCACCGGGTGCTCCGTTTTCCCCCACAGTCCAAAGTAAAGTGGTGAATTGGATGAACTAAATTGGCCGTTGTGTATAAGTGTGTGTGAATGCAAGAGTGTATTGGTGTTTCCCAGTACTGGGGTTGTGGCTAGAAGGGCATTCACCACGTAAAACATATGCTGGAATAGTTGGCAGTTCATTCCCTTGATAAATAAGATACTAAGCTGAAGAAAAATGAAACTAAATGTTAATAGAAAGCGATGATAGATGGACATCTGCCAATCACTGCATATTCAAGCATATTTATTTGCTCATAAAAAAAAATATTGGTTCAAGTATATTAAGCTGCCGTTTCCAGTGATGTAATACGGATTTTGGTCCACCCAGTCCTTCCACCCAGTGGTTAAGCAGGAATAGGTTTACTTTATGTGGCCATGAACACACCATCACCTCAAATAGCACACGACTTTCGGCTGAAAATAAGGTTATTTCATAACAAATTCCTCTTTTCTGGGCTGTCCAGTAAAAACAGCATCTCTGTGCTCCACTCGCATCGGTTTATTATGCTTTTCCATTTACGGCGAGTTATATTACCCCTTTTTCAACAGGTCTCTGACTAGTCTTTTCAGGAACACCAACTTTCAAACAACAGCAAACCATTGAAATAGCTCAGGCGCGCACACTCAACCCCTAAAACGTAAACGCTGAGCAAACAAACAGAATTCCTGCCTCTGTTTACCAGAGAAAAAACCACTGTGACTGTTTGGTAAAACTCTCACATGTTTTGTGTTTTATATAGATATAGGGGTTTTGTCTGGCATTAAAGCTTTGCTTCGGCACTGTTTACTTGCTTAAGCTTGCGGCATCCAACCTTGGAACCAATATCAGTAAAGGAATTCCACGAAGCTCCAAATTTGTGGCCAGTATTAAGCAAGAAAATGTCTAATATAAACCTGTGTACACCAATAACAGTAAAAGAAAAGATTTAGCGCACATTTTAGCAAGCTTGTCATTCCTCGATAATCTTCGCCGTTAATAATGTACGCTGGAAAATCTCAGATCATGAAAGCTTAGATGATGTTAAAAAAGGCTCTGCAGGGGGCTTTCTTTTAAAGAGAACTGTCCCCATCTGGTGAATGGCTGGCAATGAAAGCGAAGCTCTGCTTAATAAGTGGTATTTTCCCCTGAGGAGACTACGCAGTGCTTCATTCCGCAAATGCATTTCAGTCATTTCCCACAGGGTCACCAGACCACTTATAGGTATCAGTACTAGATCCACAGAAGAACTGCTGCAATTATTCCTTTGAAAATAAAGTGTCCACATAGTCTAGACATCAGTGTTTTTCTTTTAGTAAATAACTGTGACCTATTACCCACTTACACCCATTAGACATGGACATGGAGGGGCATACAAGAAACTAGGACATGCAAAACCTTCTCTTTTCTGTTTTTCTTGGAGCGTTTTCTTCAAATCTGCATCTGAATTAAGTGTGTTATTTATGTTTCCAATGTGTTTAGTGAAATTGATATTTGTATTTGATGAATTTCTTGTTTTATAACCAGGTAGGGTTGGGGTTGTGGGTATTGGGAACACAAGAAGCTTAAACATGAAGCTGATTTAGAAAGGAAAAAGCAGACCACTTTTGGTGATGATAACTTAAACACCAAACCTAATGGTCGTAGGAATTAATGGCACAAGGTTACCTGAGTTGCCTAGGACGGCAATAAAGAAAGAGGCACGTTTTAAGCTCCGACTATTTCCCAAAGAGAAGAAACCATCAAAACTATTTGACACCCCAACTAAGAAAGAAGTTCAGGTGAAGAAAGTGACACCCTCAGAAGAGGTCGCATAGGATTAGGGTCGTGGGCATTGGGAACACAAGAAGCTGAAACATTACATGTAGACTCTCCTATAATCTTTGTGTTAATGGAGACACCAAGACGTCCTATGTATTCCTCTCACTTCAGACATCAGACTTGTGCAACTCCATTACTGAGTAGACCAAGAGTAGGGACCTTAAATTATTTACACTCGGGATCAGATAGCACAGGTCAGAGTTCAGCAAACCCATTATCTTCCACATCTTATCACAGTCTACCTATATTATGCATGACGGTCACATGCAGTATGTCCTTTGAGATGTTGTTTTGATCTCTAATGTTCAGATAGTTGGCAGCGTAGCAGCAAATATCCCGTAATTCGGGCCTCGTTAGTTCAGTAACCTTTTGGTGCATGCGTTAAATACAGAAAAGTCAATTGGTGGTACTCTGGGCATAGAACAAACAGAAAAAAGGTTCAACCCAAACCCAAAGGAAACCATTTGTGTATTAAAAATGTTTTATAACCACAAAATCTTTTAAAGTATGGAAAAGTAAAGTCATGCAATTTTATACTCGGTGCTCACCGTTGTTACTGCTATGTACTTGAGTACTTATGTATTCATAGTGCAGTGCATATTATAAAGGACACTGCAATGAATGCATATTTGAACTAATATGACCCCTTTCTTTATTTCCCCAGAAGTCCCCTGTACACTCAGAGGATGACAGTGAGCTGAAAAGAGACAGAAGCCTGAAGACAGTAAGTTTTTTCGATTCTGTGAGTGTCATATCCGGAGGTCAGAGCAATATGGAGCTTGGAGTTCAGACTGAGACCCAGCAAAGTTACATGAGCAGTGGACAGAATAAAGTGAAGCATGGGGGAGAAGGACTGGACAGCGAAGTTGCCCAGGAAATCCTTTACCTGGATGAGGTCCTTGAGGCCAACTGTTGTGATCCCAGAGCCGAAATGACTTCAAATGGGACAAGTTCCCCTGACACAGAGTCAATTAGAGTTCATGGAACTGGACCATCTGTGCACACTTGTGACACAACGGCCTTAAACCATCATGAAGTTGTTTTAGAAGGGAAAAAGCAGACAACTTTTGTTGATGATAATTACAACACCAAACCTAATGGTCATGCGGCGATGATAGGAAATAATGGCACAAGGTCACCTGAGTCGCCTAGGACGGCAATGAAGAAAGAGGCACGTTTTGAGCTGCGACCATTTCACGAAGAGAAAAAGCCATCGAAACTGTTTGACACCCCAACTGAGAAAGAAATTCGGGTGAAGAAAGTGAGACCCTCAGAAGAGGTCGCAGAGCTAGAGAGGGAAAGGCTGGAACTCATCCGGGGACAGGCAGTCAAGAAAAACCCTGGCATTGCAGCAAAATGGTGGAACCCACCTCAGGAAAAGACACTGGAAGAGGAGCTGGAACCAGAGCAGCTGGAGTCGCTTCGAAAGTATGAGGAGAGGAAGCAAAGGAAACCAGAAACCAACCGTATGCCGCAAGCTGCACCCAGACAGACTACCACCTTCATCCAACCTGAAATAGCAAATAAGGAGGACGTTGTCATGGAAGAGATTGACTTTTCTGCAGCTCGCAAGCAATTTCTGCAGATGGAACAAAGCAAGCATCCCACGGTCCCTAAGAGGAATGTGGCACCACAGCTTTACTCAGCCAAACCTTTCTTCAGGACTCCAGAGGTCACGCATGTAGAGAGGTCGTGCGGTTCTGTCACTGTTGCCAATCAGGAAGGGGTCACATCCTACGATGGAAGTGAAGTTACAACAGTCAAAGCTGAAAAGATTTACTGCTGCTCTGGAGAATCCTTCATACCCACGAAAGATGGATTATCTCAGAACGAGATGAAGGATGATGACTTTACTTGTGCCCGGGCAGTGATGACCATAGTGAAGGATGAGGATGTCGATTTGTGTCAACGTTCTTTCAACAGCTCCCACCACACAGAAGAAATCGACTCTGGGTTGGATGATCTATCACTACGGTCTCAGGACACCACTGTACTTGAGACGCTCTCCAATGACTTCAGTATGGATAACATAAGTGACAGCGGTGCATCAAATGAGACTATGAGTGCCTACTTGGAAAACTCTCTTGGGGAGTACTCTTTTCCCTCAACCCCGATGGCAACTACACCAATCAATGGAAAACACGAAATCAGTATCAAATCTCCAGGGGATCAGATTGGGACTTATCAGGGAGATGGTTTAACAGAAGAAGAGTTGGAATATCATGCTGGTATTCTTGTCCAAAACGCTATCCAGCAAGCCATTGCTCAGCAGAATGACAAATGGGAGCCACTTCAGGCTACACAACATTCGTCCCCCATCACAGAGAGACATGTGGAAAGTGTTCAACCACAACCCCTAGTGGAAAGACCCACTGTCACGCCACCTCCCAAAGTGCCATCCCCCCTACAGGAGAAAGAAACGGCTCCTCAAATAACTATAGCTCAAGCCACCCCAGTAATTCCAATGAACAATTACAAACCTCCCAGTCCGTCTCCTCCACCAAACGAGAAGCCAGAGTTCAGCTACTTCAGTAAGTACTCTGAGGCGGCAGAGCTCAGGAGCACCGCAACCGTCACTCGTGCTCAGGAAACAGAAGTGACCTCAGGGCCGTTCAAGCTGCGCTCACGCAAACAGAGGACCCTGTCCATGATCGAGGAGGAGATTCGAGCAGCACAGGAGCGCGAGGAGGAGTTGAAGAGACAACGGCAGGCGCAAACATTGCACCCACCGCGTGCACAAAAGCTGAAGGCCAGCACTCAGCCAAGCAAGCTGGTCCTCACTGGGAAGACAGCACCAGGTATGAACATTTACGTCAATATGTTTTCAACAACGATGGCGAGATCACCCAAAAATGGAGATTATGTCAGAATTTACTCACTATTTACAATTTGAGTTTCGTTCTTCTGCTGAAGACCTTCTGAAGTTGATCTTTGGAAGAAAATTGGAAAATTGTAGTGACCGGGTTCCAATTATCCTAAAAATGTCTTCTTTTGGAACCAACTGAGGATGAGTAAATTGTGAGTAAAGCTTCATTTTTTGGTAGAACTATCCCAAAAATAACAGTTGTGTTGCTTATTATTGTTAATAATTGCAAATTAAGATATTTCGGATAAAATCTAAGACCTCCCTGATCTTCCATTGACAGCAATTGTCTCTAGATGTTTAAAGTCCGGAAAAGTACCAAAAACATCCTCAAAACAGTCCATGTGTCTATAAAAAAATTATCAAGAAGAATACTTTTTTGCATACCTAAAACAAAAATTACAACTTTATTCAACACTTTCTTCTCCTCCAGTATAGGACAAGAGTATCCAAAGAGTATCCAGAGTCCTGCATAGTTTAGCTCCAACTTCCTTCAACACACTTGTCTGTAGGTGGCTAGTATACCTAGAAAGAGGTTGATTAACTGGTTCAGGTATTTCTGATAGGAACTAAACTTTGCAGGACACCGGCCCTCCAGGACATAGTTTGGGTACCCCTGGTACAGGGTATCCAAAGTATACGTGCAACATGCAACACACAAAGACACTCCCTACAGTGAAACTCAGGAAAGTCTTTGAAACTGTTGAATAAAGTGGTTATTTTTGTTTTATGTGCACATTAAGGTCTCTCGTAGCTTGATAATATACTGACTGGATCACTGAAGGCATGTGGTCTGTTTTGTATGGTTGTGTTTTTGGTATTTTTCTGGTCCTTGAAACCTTTTTGGGGCTGTTGCTGTCTATGGTGGATGGGAGTGCTCTCGGATTTCATCTTAAATATCTTAATTAGTGTTCTGAAGCTCTAAGAGTTTCCCAGAGATGGGTTGCGGCAGGAAGGGCATCGGCTGCATAAAAACGTGCTGGATAAGTTGCTGGTTCATTCCGCTGTGGTGGCCCCGGATTAATAAAGGGACTAAGCCGACAAGAAAAAGAATGAATGAAAGATCTAAGAGGATTGAAATGACATAAGGTTGAGTAACTTATAACAGAATCTTCATTTTTGAGCAAGGGCAGAGTGACCATAGGGAACACCAGAACATTTCCCGGTGGCCCCATGGTCAATCGGGCCTGGCACTGTGAATCTGGTCTGATCCCCCACTTCATCCCCCCATTTCTCGGTCTTCACTTACCGATCGCTCAAGTGGCCTGGTGTTCAATAACTGTCTCTAGTAAATAAACTGTCCCAGTCCACCCCTGTTTTTGAGTGAACTAATCCATTAAGATGACTTCTTAAGTCGTCCCACAATTAACAGCCCTTCAAGACAAGCCATACATGATGCAAATGAGCTCTCAATCAGATAAAAGCTGCTCTTTGTACAGTTGTTCATAGATGGCAGATTGGTTTCGAGAAAAGTCTAATGCAAGCCAGGCGCTAAAACTGAAGACATTTCTGCCTCTGTAATTTGAGCTTTGTTGTTAATTAGCTGGTGATTGTCAGTCATATAACTGGAATCCTGGAAGTTCACTTCTTAGAGCTGCTTTAGTTTAGATTCTTTGCACGCCGTTGTCCCACAGGACTGCGCCCGCAGTTCAGCCTGAGTTACTTTTGCAAGCTGTGCTTTTTGAAGAGGCTTTAAAGAAAACTGCAGCAAAGACGCTGGGAAGATAGTGCTGTTTTCTACTTCATTAGCTTTACGACAGATGAATAATACTGTGTATTTACTGGGTAACAAATATATTTGCAAGCGTTAGGTATAGTGACAACTAACTATTATAATCTTTAAAACAGGATGCACATTAAATGAATAGTTTACCCAAAAAAAAGTAAATTCAGTCATTATTCATTAACCCTTCGCTTTTTCAAAACATGCTTGAGTTTCTTTTTCTATTAAACATGAAAGTAGATATTTCGAAAAAAAAGCTGGCTGCTGGCACTCATCGACTACCATAGCATTCTTTCCAACTATGGAAGTCGGTAGTAAACTTACATTCTTCATCTTTTATTGTTTTCAATAGAAGAAAGAACTCATAAAGGTTTAAAACCACATGACGAAGAATAAATTATGACATCATTTACATTTTGGGTAAACTATGCCTTTAAATGTTTCCATTTGATCAGTTTAAATCCATGGGTAACAGGAGTTTCTCAACGCCACTGTCCCATAGAGGCTTTATTTAGCATGGTGTCATATGCTTAGCAGCACAGTATTTAATGTCATTGTGTCCTGTTCTTCTGGGCAATTGTCCATGTCTCATTTTTGATAATGAGATGTTTGTTTTGTACTGGAGAAGTTTATGTCTGCCCTCTAGTGGTCCCATAGGGAAGTAGACATAAAACCCTTAGTATTTTATGTCTAAAATGTATTATTTTATATATAAAAAGAAAAACTGGGTCAGTAAACAAATCTGTTAAGTTATCTTAATCGTTTTTACAAATTGAAGTAGACTGAACATAAAACATTTAGGTTGTCCCCTTAAAAACACTTAAGAATTGTGTTGATTGAAGGGACAGTTAACCCTAAAAAAATAAACATTTATTTTTATAGTCATTTATTTTTGTTTTAACCCTTTATGATAGGGCTGAACAATATATCGTTTCAGCATCGATATCGCAATATGTGTTTCTGCAATAGTCACATCGCAGGATTAGATTATTTATTTAAGTTTAAAAGATAAAGATATTATTAAATATTATTTACTCATTCGTTTTCCTTTGCCACAGCGGAATGAACCTCTATTATTAAATTTTATTTTTTTTATTAATTTTTATACACTAATGACCATGTTATTTTACATTTGATTGTTCAATTTCTGTAAACTGTAAAATTAAAAAAAGTTAAGGTAACTCAAATAATTTATGGAAACCCATTGCAACTTTAAAAAGTAATCCATAACTGTGAGTACTGTGAACTTAATCCATTTAATTAATAAAGCAATTTGAGCACAGTAAAACCCAATAAATGAATAGAACTCAAACCAACTAAGTACTTTAAAACCCAAAAAGTTAAGGCAACTCAAATCGTTTGAGGAAACCGATTACTACAAACCATTTGAGTTAAAAAAAAAACTATATATAAACTCTGTATGAGTACTGTGAACTTGTACTTGTTTTTGCTTATAATTTATTATAATTTATGCAGATGCACTGCATAGAATTATGCCAGTTGATATAAAATAATAAAATCTTTCCAAATAGAGCTATTCAAATCATCTGGTGAAATTATATTCATATTGCAATATACAGTTAAAGTCAGAATTATTAGCCCCCCTTTAATTTTTCTTTTCTTTCTTAAATATTTTCTAAACGATGTTTAACAAAGCAAGGAAATTTTCTCAGTATGTCTGATATTTTTTTTATTATCTTATTTTTTTTATTTCAGCTAGAATAAAAGCAGTTTTTAATCTTTTAGACACCATTTTAAGGTCAAAATTACTAGTTAAGCCTTTAAATGTCACTTTAAGCTGTATGAAGTGTCTTGAAAAATATCTAGTCACATATTATTTACTGTCATCATGGCAAAGATAAAATAAATCAGTTATTAGAAATGAGTTATGTTCTATTATGTTTAGAAAAGTGTTGAAAAAAAATCTGCTCTCCGTTAAACAGAAATTGAGGAAAAAAATACACAGGGGGTCTAATAATTCAGGGGGGCTATTAATTCAGACTTCAACTGTATATCGCAGTAAAACAAAAATGCAATGTCAGATTTTTCCAATATCGTGCAGCCCTTCTTCATGGGTTTCTTACTTTAATTAAACAAAAAAAAAAAGCTTGTTTGAAGAAAGCTGGAAACCTGTAGTCATTGTTTATCTAAAGCAGGGGTGCCTAAACTTGGTCCTGGAGGGCCGGTGTCCTGCATATTTTAGGGCCTACTCACACTATGCCATCTGTACCGTGCCTAAGCGTGGTTCATTTGGGCTTTGGCACGGTTTGCTTGTGTGTGAGTGCAAAACTCGCTAAAGCCCGAAACTGAAAGCGAGACGTGACTTTTAAGGGACTGTTTCATATGGATTTATTAATCAATCTTACTGTTTAATTAACGCAAAATGCCGTAGTTTATTAAATACACAAACCCCTCACTGCACGACTACTGCGCACCTTCAGCAAACCTCCTCATTCCTGCAGCACGAGGGCTTTGAGATTGTTTATGAGCGCCAAAAGTGGTGGTTCTGTGCAGCGAAATATCTGACTGCGTGTCACCGCATCCCTAAGGACTGTTTGGCAAAATATCTGACTGCGAGTCACCGCATCCCTAAGGACTAAGGCGATATAACTGAATAATTCTCCACTGTGCTGAGCGAGAGCGCTCACTGAACAGCGCAGCATCGATGATGTAAGCGTGCCCAGGCCTGATTGTAGTGTGAGTGCGGGCCGTCGGGGGAGAAGGGAGGGGGGACAAGCGTACTTTGGCCCGGTTTGAGGCAACTACATAGTGTGAATACAGCCTTAGTTCCAACCCCAATTAAACACACCTGAACCAGCTAATCAACTTCTTTCCAGGCAAGTGTGTTGAAGGAAGTTAGAGCTAAACTACGCAGGACAGCGGCCCTCCAGAGTTGAAAGTGTCAGCTGTTTAATGCTTAGTTAATTTGCTCTTGTATTTATGCAGTGTAGATAGTTTGTTTATTCAAACTGGCGCGATTTCTCTCAGCTTGCCCTGATTTAAAGGAATGAAGAACAGCATTGTGAGTGTCTACACTGAGTTCTCTGTGCTTCTAGTATCCATACTTGGGTCGTCATCAAGAATGTGTCTAAGACTCTTTCATGTCACTTAATTGATGAGGGATGAAAATCTTGCAGAAAAATACTCAAATTCCCAATGAATGCAGGCTACCTCAGAACTCCTTCGGGATTTGTCATTTTTTGCATTTATTTTTATGGAAAGTAAATGCAAAGAATTAAACATTTTGAATCTCTCGATTATTATTTTGTATTGCAATATTGTTTCTCAGAACTGCTAGTTCTTTGGCTTTCTCGCAATTCTGACTTCATTTAACAATATTAAGTTTACAATTCTAAGTACATACAAGTGTTGGTCATATGAGTATAATATCTTCAAAATGTTGATTTATTTTACTAATTACAGCAGTCCAGTCTTTAGCTCAGGTAGTCATGGGACGATAACTGTTTTCAAGGTATACGAAATATGGAAAAATCAAGGTTTTAAAGCCACCAAAATTTTCTGCTATACTATTCCTTCGGTATATGCAAGTTTTTTTTTTATGTTTTTGTTTTAAGTTTTTTAGGACAACAGTATCTCCAGCAGAAAATATATCAAAAGAAATCTGTGTTTTTGAAACCAATAAAGACAGCAGAAATCAATGATTCATTTGAATTAATTAGCCTGATGTTTACTGCTCCAAAATATTATAAATGTTTCCTAAAATAAAACATATTGTGTTCGATGGGGGGGTAAAGTTCTTGTTTTTTACCCAGATATTTAAAAAGAACTTATTTTAATCACAATACCGTAAAACAGTAAAACTGTGAAATTTTTATCCAAGGTTATCACACCATCAGAATCTTAAACCGGCCCATACCTAAGCCCAGATGAGACGCTTCTGATGCTGTCTGTTGTTCAAGAGTGGCTTGACACAAGGAAATGCGACAGCTGAAACCCATGTCTTGCATACATCTCTAGTGGTTCTTGAAGCACTGACTCCAGCTGCAGTCCACTCTTTGTGAATCCCCCCACATTTTTAAATGGGTTTTGTTTCATAACTCTCTCCAGGGTGTGGCTGTCCCTATTGCTTGTACACTTTTTTCTCGAACATCTTTTTCTTCCCTTTGCCTAATAATGTGTTTGGACACGGCGCTTTGTGAACAGCCAGCCTCTTTTGCAATGAAATTGTGTCTTTCCCTCCTTGTTCAGGGTGTCAATGGTCGTGTATGTCAAAACTGTCAAACAAACCATCTTCCCCATGATTGTGTAGCCTACAGAATTAGACGGAGAGAGACCCTTTAAAGCCCTTTGTGGGTGTTTTAAGTTAATTAGCTGATAAGATGGTAGGCATGTGCTAGTATAAGATTCTGACGGTATGATAACCTTAGATAAAAATATCCCGGTTTTGTGGTATCACGGGATTACTGCTTTAAAATATGTTCTTTTTAAATGTCTGGATAAAATATAAAATATTTTCCCCTATGAAAGCAATATATTTTATTTTTTGAAAGATTTAAAATGATTTTGGAACAGTAAACAAGTCAGATTGACCGTAACACCACATTGGGTGTGCATTGTCATCTAATAATTCAATGGCACATTATCAATTATTTCTTACTTATTACTCCTGGCATATATTTTTAATGTGTTCTGTGAGATATCCGGCGTGATATGGACCTGTAATGTGGTCAAAACCTGCCTGGAACTACTTTAAGTGTTGTATTTTCTACCCACGTGCAGGTAAAATTGAGAAGGTTCGTCCAGCTCCTCCAGCCTCCCCTTGCTCTTCAGACGGAGCTCTGCCGTCGCCTCTGTCTGATCTGGGCAGTGATGATTCTGGAGGAGCTCAGAGACCCAAGAACTTCATGCAGACTTTGATGGAGGACTTCGAGACACACAAAGTCAAGCGCAGGGAGAAAGCCGAGGACAACAGTGTAAGTCTCCTATGGCCAGAATCAATACTGTGTTTGTGAAAGTCATGGGATAGATCGATATGGAATAATTCATTGTCTGTGGTTTCTTCCTGTCTACACTACACATTGTTATCGCTGGTTACGACCAGTCAGATTAAGCGAAGATAAAATCAATCTTTATTTGGAAATAGGCCAATTCTACAAGTCAGACAGTAGAGAGTCGAGTTTTGCAGTTTTTGAATATATTTAGTCGATCTCCGGGTCTTGCAGGAGCACTTTTAGCTTAGCTTAGCATAAATAATTGAATCAGATAAGACCATTAGCATCTCACTCAAAATTTTTTACAAAAAAGTGTTGATAGTTGTCCTATTCAAACATCGACTCTTTTGTAGTTACATTGTGTAGTTAAGACCAACAGAAAATGAAAGTTGCTGTTTTCTAGGCAGATATAGCTAGGAACTATACTCTCATACTGGTGTTATAACCAAGGAACTATGCTGCAGTACCATGGCTGCAGCAGGCACCATACTATGTAGCACTTTTAACTAGTAACCTAGCTGGAGACTACTGCATAATCAGTGTGGTGACCAGGGCCCGGTTGCATGAAAGTCCTTAAGCTAAGAAATCCCTTGGTGATTTAAATCACTAAATTTAATTGATTCAAATGAGTGATTTAATCGCTTAAATCCCTTAGTTTGAAGGTTATGGTTACCCGTATGCCGAGTTCAGACTGCACGATTTTCAAAGTCACGTCACAGAGGTTTTCCCACTGCATGATGAACATCATAATACCAGCCATACATGCAAAGCACAAATAAGGTCTTTCAATTTGGTCACGTCCTTCATCCTTTAACCAATCTCTGTTTTTTAAATGTTTGCTCACTTTTTTGCAATCTGAAGCGCGTCAAATGCACAAAACGCCCAATTTGCGCAACGCAATCTCACGGCAATTCATAACGTTTTGATCTAGTAGCTAATTCGTATGAATTTGTACGATCTAATTCGTACAATTTAGTAAGTTTTGCTCACCACCCAATGAAGACTGGGGTTGGGTGCCATGCGAATTTCGAATTTGTACTAATTAGCCACTAAACTGACAAAACGTAAAATACTTGCGTTTGCTCGTGAGATCAGGCTGATTTGCGCCATAGTTTGTCTAATCCAATCTTAGCATTGACTTCACATGTACATCATTCGCACTTCATCCTCGTTTGCTTACGGTACAGGCTGTAAAACACCCCGCCCCCATGTAATGTAATGATTGTTCGGGCGCTCAAATACAATCACGTCTGCTGCGTATGTGACGTCTATAAATCATGTAAAACATTTGCAAACTGAAATAAATATATTTTGATTATAGGGTTTAGAATAAGAGGTTTTATGAGATTATTTACCTTTTTTTCGATTATTTTAAATTTAATCAAGAATTTCGCAGGATCGCAAAAATTTGCGACTTTTGTTGATTATGTGTTGGATTTGGCTATCGTGAAATCCCGAAAAACTAGGGGGTCTGTAATAGAGCTGTAATCGGGCCATAAAAAATTAGGCCCGATAGGGCCTGAGTCCAACAGAATTCGTCTTGAGCCCGACAGGTACATTTTGATTGACAGCTTTAACCCGTTTGCACCCCTACATGATTCAAATGTGCACAGGCACAGCTCTTTTGCCTTTTTCAAGTACACTCAACTTAATAGTGTAAAATTGTTGAGTGAACTAATTTTTTTAAGTCAACTTAATTCATTTAATTGTTTGAAGAAGTTGATACAATATCATTTAAAGTTACATGAACAAAGGATTTGTCAACTCCAAAAATTGTTTGTTGTAACAAAAACCTGAAAAAGTTACCTGGTTGCCTTAAATTTATAAGTTGAATCAACTAAATATAGTTTGTTGAAACAACTAACTAAGACGTTTACACAATTGATCTATAATTAGGAGTTAAATGAACTTAAAGTTTGTTGCAACAATTAACAAAGTTTACAAATTTGACTCACAATTAAGACTTCCGTAATAACATTTTAACTTCAAGAATACATTTTCATTCAAGCAGATGTAAAGATATCAATTTAATAAATTCATATTGAAACTCATGTTTATTTTCAATGAAGCAGCTCCAGATAAACAGATTTATTAGTATTCACTTCGCAAATGTTGACCATCCATTCAAAAAAACATTTGTAGTCAATACATTAGCTTTCACTTGAATTGGCTGAGCTGATTCATCTATGGCTAAAATATCATCACATTGACTTGCATCAGAAACCTGCAGTTCCTCTTTTTCATCTCGTGCTCTGAAAGTGAGAAACCTTCGAGCTCATTTTGGAAAGTGAAAGATGAAGATGTAGATTTAAAAACACACACACACATCCACACCATCAAAAGCCTATTGAAAGAACACGCTGTTTCATGTCAACCACAGTCTTTCCCCTTTTGCTTTCTCGGATATCAGCAACATTTCTTCTAAAAGCTGTTATTTAGAGAACAAACCATGAAGTGCCTGTGTTTTGCAACTTTGCTGCACTGGCAGTAAAATCACATTCCATTATCATAATGCTGGCAATATAACAACTATTACTTTAAACTTGAGAGGGAATAATAGCATTGTTTTTGGCAAAGTAAACACTTTCCAGTGTGAGTAAAATAAATTAATGACAATAACGGCGGTTTTATGTTATACTTTTGCCAAGCGAAATATCCAAATGTTATTTAAATCCATCATTAGATGTTTCCTCAAGAACAGACAAAATTATATTTGGCGTCAGATTCAAATATGCTATTCCTCAGGGAGGGGTCTAACCAAAATATTTGAGATTGGGGTGGACCAGAATTAAAAGTTTAAGAACTGATGGCTTGTTCAATTTTGGTTTAATGAACAAACGTAATTTTATATACACAGAAAGCATAATAAATACAAGTAAAGTGTTGACTTTAAAGTTTCAAATAACATTTGGTGAAATAAAATGTCAAAATATTCATAAAATAATGTTCCAATGTCATTCAGCGTAACAGCAAAGTCCCCTTAAGTCAAGGCATTTCACGCTGCGGCCATCTTTGAAATGCTTCTCGGGTAGTATGCTCAGGCATTCTGTCTGAATGGGAAAACATCAAATTCTCCACAACTGTTAGCCAAGCTTACGATTACATTACAGGAATCACCAATAAAATTAAACAACAACTGTCTCATAAGTTTCATTTCTAAACATTCAAATCAAACTAAATCTGCATTTTTCAGGTTGCCCGAGCTAACGCACATGTGCACTCAAAATGAAACGAGAACACGAGACCAACCTTATTTATGGCCGTGTTACACATGATCATCCTTTGGATAATGCTTTGTCAGATCACGCTGGACTTCTGAAGTAATTTACAACTTGGTCTTGATAGCGAATCTCCTCCAGATATGACAGCAACATTTGTCAACTCTGGGAATAATAGCATTGTTTTTGGCAAAGTAAACACTTTCCAGTGTGAGTAAAATAAATTAATGACAATAACGGCGGTTTTATGTTACACTTGAAGTTTTGCTAAGCAAAATATCCAATACTATTTAAATTCATCATTAAATGGTTCCTCAAGACCCTACAAAATTATATTTGGCGTCAGATTCACATGCTTTTATACCTCAGTGAAGGGTGTAACCAAAATATTTGAGATTGGGGGTGGACCAGAATTAAAAGTTTAATAACTGATGGCTTGTTCCGTTTTGGTTAAATAAACAAACGTGATTTAATATACACAGAAAGCATAATAAATACAAGTGTTGACTTTAAAGTTTCAAATAACATTTGGTGAAATAAAATGTCAAAATATTTATCAAATAAGGTTCCAATGTCATTCAGCGTAACAGCAAAGTCCCCTGAAGTCAAGGCATTTCACTCTGCGGACATCTTTGAAATGCTTCTCGGGTAGTATGCTCAGGCATTCTGTCTGAATGGGAAAACATCAAATTCTCCACAACTGTTAGCCAAGCTTACGATTACATTACAGGAATCACCAATAAAATTAAACAACAACTGTCTCATAAGTTTCATTTCTAAACGTTCAAATCAAACTAAATCTGCATATTTTCAGGTTGCCCGAGCTAACGCACATGTGCACTCAAAAGAAACGAGAGCACGACACCAACCTTATTTATGGCCGTGTTACACATGATCATCCTTTGGATAATGCTTTGTCAGATCACGCTGGACTTCTGAAGTAATTTACAACTTGGTCTTGATAGCGAATCTCCTCCAGATATGACAGCAACATTTGTCAACTCTGGGAATAATAGCATTGTTTTTGGCAAAGTAAACACTTTCCAGTGTGAGTAAAATAAATTAATGACAATAACGGCGGTTTTATGTTACACTTGAAGTTTTGCTAAGCAAAATATCCAATACTATTTAAATTCATCATTAAATGGTTCCTCAAGACCCTACAAAATTATATTTGGCGTCAGATTCACATGCTTTTATACCTCAGTGAAGAGTGTAACCAAAATATTTGAGATTGGGGGTGGACCAGAATTAAAAGTTTAATAACTGATGGCTTGTTCCGTTTTGGTTAAATAAACAAACGTGATTTAATATACACAGAAAGCATAATAAATACAAGTGTTGACTTTAAAGTTTCAAATAACATTTGGTGAAATAAAATGTCAAAATATTTATCAAATAAGGTTCCAATGTCATTCAGCGTAACAGCAAAGTCCCCTGAAGTCAAGGCATTTCACTCTGCGGACATCTTTGAAATGCTTCTCGGGTAGTATGCTCAGGCATTCTGTCTGAATGGGAAAACATCAAATTCTCCACAACTGTTAGCCAAGCTTACGATTACATTACAGGAATCACCAATAAAATTAAACAACAACTGTCTCATAAGTTTCATTTCTAAACGTTCAAATCAAACTAAATCTGCATATTTTCAGGTTGCCCGAGCTAACGCACATGTGCACTCAAAAGAAACGAGAGCACGACACCAACCTTATTTATGGCCGTGTTACACATGATCATCCTTTGGATAATGCTTTGTCAGATCACGCTGGACTTCTGAAGTAATTTACAACTTGGTCTTGATAGCGAATCTCCTCCAGATATGACAGCAACATTTGTCAACTCTGGGAATAATAGCATTGTTTTTGGCAAAGTAAACACTTTCCAGTGTGAGTAAAATAAATTAATGACAATAACGGCGGTTTTATGTTACACTTGAAGTTTTGCTAAGCAAAATATCCAATACTATTTAAATTCATCATTAAATGGTTCCTCAAGACCCTACAAAATTATATTTGGCGTCAGATTCACATGCTTTTATACCTCAGTGAAGGGTGTAACCAAAATATTTGAGATTGGGGGTGGACCAGAATTAAAAGTTTAATAACTGATGGCTTGTTCCGTTTTGGTTAAATAAACAAACGTGATTTAATATACACAGAAAGCATAATAAATACAAGTGTTGACTTTAAAGTTTCAAATAACATTTGGTGAAATAAAATGTCAAAATATTTATCAAATAAGGTTCCAATGTCATTCAGCGTAACAGCAAAGTCCCCTTAAGTCAAGGCATTTCACGCTGCGGCCATCTTTGAAATGCTTCTCGGGTAGTATGCTCAGGCATTCTGTCTGAATGGGAAAACATCAAATTCTCCACAACTGTTAGCCAAGCTTACGATTACATTACAGGAACCACCAATAAAATTAAACAACAACTGCCTCATAAGTTTCATTTCTAAATGTTCAAATCAAACTAAATCTGCATATTTTCAGGTTGCCTGAGCTAATGCGCACTCGAAAGAAACGAGATCACGACACCCACCTTATGTTTACAAGGTCTAAGGCGTTTGAGGAGTTGCTACAGTCATGTGATGTGTGTTGTACAGGACAGACTGTACCTTGCATTCGTTTCATGCAGATTACAAAACCAAAAAAGTATAAAAAGTATAGTTGGTTGTACTTTTAAAAAAGTATAAAATGTACAAAAGTATAGTTGGTTCAATTAAAAGCACAGATTTTAAGCTTTGGTTAGAAATATTTCTGATGTCTGTCAAGCAAATATTCGCTCAGATTCCAGTGTGTTTGTTGATCACCAAAAGTCTCGTAAAATCACACGTCTTGTCTGAACTTTGCCCCCGGAGAAACGACAGTCTATAACGATCAATGATTGGCTCCTACACTCTAAAAAACGTTGAGTTATTTATTTAACCCAATGGTTGAGTTAAACATATTTGGTGCTTTGTTGTTGTTGTTTTTTTACCTTTATTTGGTTATTTATATAATAACTCAACCAGTTAGGTTAAAATTTTGAACAGTCAACTGATTTAACTGACACAGAACAGCTGTATTAATATGAGTGCGTAATTTAGTTTTTGCGTTATTACGTTTATTTAAGCTCTAACACAATAATCTTGTTGTTTTTTTTTTTTATCAAAGTACCTCTCTGTGTCATGTTTTTTATATCCGTTTCACCAGCACTCTTAATTATTGATGATACATACACGCGCTTCACAGCCGATCTATATTAAATGGATAAAACATCCTGTGTTCATCTCTACAGTTTTTTTTTTGTTTTTTTTTTTTTGGAGGAAATGATAACCATATTTGAGATATTCCGCCGTCATTTTAGCCTTTAGGACCAAGCGGAGACATTTATTTATTTACACAGCCATAATTATAAAATTAATAGTAGTACTAGTAATAGTATTACCAGAATGGAAAAAATTACATTTAATCAAAATATCCCAAACTTGGGAAGGTGCTAAAATAACCTATAGTTGGGTTATATGTTGGGGTATTTTTAACCCAGCAATTTTAACTGAGCATACTAGTGGGCGGGGCTTCATTCGCCATATTGATTGTTACTATTTTCCCCATTTAAAACAATACGAGTGACACATCTTGTGTATTCTAGAGTCTTTGGTAACATATATACTTGTTCTGACCTGCACTTATAATACTAACTGCTAATAGATGGCTAAAACCTAGTAGTTTCAAGGATAGTGGTGAAGTATAAATATTGAAAAAGTATTTTATGACCATACATTTAATATGCCAACAAATAACACCTATCCAAATGTGCCTGAAGGGTTTTTTTTGGTGTAAAAACCATTACACAGAATGACATTTTAGTTTCGCTTCTTTAGATCATGGTAAAAAAATTTGACGGTCATTTGTTTTTACTCTAGAAAGAAACAATTAAACAAAACACATTCAAATGAATGATTAACTTCAATACAAACTATCTCACACTTCGTAAAGAAAAAAAAACAGAACAATTATAACAAAACACAGTTAGTTTAAACTCAATCATGGCATTAATTTAATCATAGCACCTAATAATGAATCACTATGATCTATATTTAATATGAAAAAGTGAAGTACATATGAAAATAAATCTGCTCTACTTTCTGCCGCTGTTCTTTACACAATAGCGAGTGTATCCACTAATTCTTCCTCTTTCCCTCTTGTCAGTTTGTCCACTCAGTTACCTCTGAGGTACTTGTATTATGCTTGCTTCAACGTTCACTGTGCCTTCATTTGTGTTTCTGCATGTTTTGTTGAGGTGGAAGGTTGTAGCAGGGCCAAATACTTTGACATTTGAAAAGTGTTTCCAAGCAATCATTGTATTTTGTGTCGTAATGTCATTGCATCTTTCATCACATGTGGATCCACCTTTTTCAAATGGTCAAAGTATTTGCATCTACATGATTTATGTGAAGTGGGGTGTCACTATTCATTTCCAAAACTTGTGTCAAAAAAATCTGTGAACTTATGGTGTGTTCATATTTGATAGATTTTGTTTGGTTTAAATGAAGAGTGAAAGTTGTTAATAAGCTTCCAAATAACCTTTTATGTAATTTAGTATCAATAAATGAGCAATGTAACACTCATAGCAGTGCGATATGGCTGTATATTGGCATTGAGGGGGGAGGCGTGCTTTGGCACAAGGCCATAGGTCGAGTGCCTTAGTCAGGGCCGGATTAAGGACACATTGGGCCCTGGGGCTGTAGCAAATCCAAGGGCCCCCTTTTATTTTTTTTACCTCACTAAATTTTTTATAAATAAATTAAAATTATTTATATATATATATATATATATATATATAGCAATAGATATAGCAATAGATATAGCAATAGATAGATAGCTGTTGTTATTATTATTATTATTATTATTATTATATTGTTATTATTATTAATAATTTACTAATTAATATTATTATCTAATTTTCCACCATTTAATTTATATTTAATAATTATTTTTATTTTTCTATTTTATTTTAAAAAGGCCTGCAAGTAGGCTATACAAAATTAAGTAATGACATAATATAAACTTTAAAGTTCAAACAGGCTGCAAAAATCTGCAAAAAAAAAAAAAACATTTGCAATACTTCCTAAATTAGTGCTTTATAATAAACACTTTCAATACGGGTTAACCTTTAAATGTTTCTTTAGAACTTTAGCTGACCATAAATCCCTAATGATATCTTTAAAGTCCATGCTTTTAATATCCAAAATATTGTGGTTACAGAAGGCTAGCATCCTTATTTTATTTATTTATCTATTTTTTGCATCAGATATATTGTCTGATGAAAGCCAGCGCCAATATTGCACTGCTTCATTTTATTTCTGTTAGTTTTATAAAAGAGGCAAAGTAAACAAAGTTCATTATGTTGTCCAACAGCGGCAATATTTGTCAAACTGTAGTGGGTTTATTGATCTGCTGTCACTCTATGTGGGCGGAGTTATACATAAGGGTTAAAAGGTTGTACGAGTGCTGATATCACAGAATATCGCACAGCTATCAGCCAATCAGATTCGAGATCCAGACAGAACTGTTGTATAAACATACTTTTAAAATGCGTTAATATTTGTATTGTCATATGTTTCCGTTTACTTTTATTATTGTTAGTAACAAAAAAGGTTAAATAAAGTATTAAAGTATACCCTCTTGTATATTTTTACTCCACACGAATAACTTTAATGTATTGATGCATTTAATGTGTTAAAATATTCTATAAACAACATATTAATCTCATCACTGTGATTCTTGTTTACATTAATATATAAGTGCAGATACTTAAAATTTTACATTTAATATTAAGACATTATATATTTAAAAGGTAATAGTGGCATTGTGTTTTTCAGCTTTATGTTTATCTACATGTTAATATACAGTTAAAGTCAGAGTTGTTAGCCCCTCTGTTTATTTTTTTCCCACAATTTCTGTTTAACGGAGAGCAGATTTTTTCCAACATATTTCTAAACATAATCGTTTTAATAACTAATTTCTAATAACTGATATATTTTATCTTTGTCATGATGACAATACATAATATTTGACTAGCTATTTTTGAAGAGACTTCTATACAGCCTAAAGTGACATTTAAAGGCTAAACTAGGTTAATTAGGTTAACTAGGCAGGTTAGGGTAATTAGACAAGCTATTTTAAAGCAATGGTTTGTTCTGTAGACTATCGAAAAAACATAGCTTAAAGGGGCTAATAATTTTCACCTTAAAATGTTTTTAAAAAAATTAAAAACTGCTTTTATTCTAGCCGAAATAAAAACAAATAAGACTTTCTCCAGAAGAAAAAATATTGTCAGACATGCTCTGAAAATTTCCTTACTCTGTTAAACATCATTTGGGAAATATTTAAAAAAGAAAACAATTCAAAGCAGGCTCAATTCTGACCTTAACAGTATAGACTTGTATATTTAGGCCTTAAAATTGACAATCTCAACCCTAAATGAACCAGAACTACAAATGTGAACACACCTTTTGAATGTCCAGTCTTCATTTGAGTGTTTTACCACCATAAAGCATCTGATTATTCATTCAAATTCATAATATGTCGACCATACAGTCTGGTTTCATATTTTATGAAAATATTCAAGTTATCTGAGAAGCTCAGATTGGACAATTAGTTGGAAAAAGACACAATGCGAGTGTAACACTTGGCACCAGTTTTTACAACAATATTTCTTTTGAACCAGCATGGCAGTTCTCTTTTCTGCTTTATTATTTCTGCTTTCGTGCTGTGTTTGCACTTAAGCCTGTATTGTGTTTTGTGAATCTCTTATTATCTGACGCTGCTTTTGACGGTCAGAACCAAACTGGTTGTTCACAGCATGAAACTGATTGAAACAGGTGGGGTTTGGAAAAACGGACCATTTGGTGTGTTTGTTTGCACATGTGTGACTGACTAATTTGGTAAAGTTCTTAACCGAATGTTTTTAATGAAAAGAACTGATATTGACTTTTAACTATGGGCCAGATTTCTTTAAGAGGGTGTGAAAGAAAAGCACAGTCCCCTACCAGTGGGAGACTTGTCTTAAAGGAAACCATACGTATTAAATGTGCCATAGAATGGAAATTTGAATATATCTAGGCATAGCTAGGGCCAGACAGAATCTGCGGACATTTCTGCACAGAGTTTTGATAAAAATCTGCGGATTTATGTGGAATTATTTGTAAAAAAATCCAGCTTAAACCAGCCTAGGCTGGTTGGCTGGTTTTAGCTGGTCGACCAGGCTGGTTTTAGAGGGGTTTTGGCCACTTCCAGGCTGGTTTTCAGCCATTTCCAGCCTGGTCTTAGCTGGTTAGGCTGGAAAATGACCAGCTAAATCCAGCTAAAACCAGCTTGACCAGCCTGGTTTAAGCTGGACATAGCTGGTTTTGGCTGGGCTCCCAGCCTGCTAGGCTGGTCAAGCTGGTTTTAGCTGGTCATCTCCCAGCCTAACCAGCTAAGACCAGGCTGGAAATGGCTGGAAACCAGCCTGGAAGTGGCCAAAACCACTCCTAAAACCAGCCTGGTTGACCAGCTAAAACCAGCCAACCAGCCTAAGCTGGTTTAAGTTGGATTTTTCAGCAGGGGTGTGTTTCCCATACTGATAAACTTCAGGTGACCTGTTATTGTGAGTTTTTGACCATTTTATACGGTTCCTTTTACAGCATCAGTGTTCTAATGTCATTAAAATACATTTAATTAAATAGACTTTGGTATTCATTTAGTTGCTCAAGCGTAAAACGAGACAAAAGCCGTTTGCTCGCAAAATAGAAATAGAAATAAGAAAGAAATATTGTCAGACATATTGTGAACATTTTCTTCCTCTGTTAAACATAATTTGGGAAATATTAAAAAAAATAAATAAATCAAAGGGGGGCTAATCTGACTTCTACTATGTAGGGCAGAGGTAGGGAACCTATGGCTTTGGGGGCCACATCTGGCTCTTTGACCAAAAATCTGTGGCTCTCCAGCTGTCTCTCTTCAATAATATTTTAAAGTTTAAAAAATTCACTAGAAAATTGTTTTCTATTAAAAGTACTGGTTCAATTCCATTTTTATTGTGTTTTCTACAGCAAAATGAATATGAACTCAGTTTATAATAAAATGACTTTTTAACCAATGCACATATGTGATGCTGTGGTTTAATTTAAATCATAACACCAATAAAGGGCAAGAAATTTACATTTCTATTGTAACCTCCCGTATGTAAATTCAAACAACATTCATTAGTGGCGATGGCAAAAAGAAAAAAAAAATCAATAAATTCCCTTTGTTCATATATTGTGACGCGTTACATTTGTTTATTTTTGCGTTGTGCATGAACATAAATAAAGGTTTTGTTTATTAATAAATAAAGGTTTTGTTATATACACACCCCAATGACTCTTTTAAAAAATACACTTAATAAAAAAAAAAAATCAGAAATGGCTCTTTGCAGAAAAAAGGTTCCAGACCCCTGATGTAGAGATATCAGCGAGCAATTTAACATATTGAATCAATGCACTCTATGGCACATTTAAGACCTAACATAACATAAATGGTCACACTTTACAATAAGGTTCATTAGTTAATGTTAATTAATGCATTTACTAACATGAACAAACAATGAACAATACATCTACTACTGTATTTGTTCATGTTAGTTAACGTTAGTTAATGAAAATACAGTAGTTCATTGTTAGTTCATGTTAACTCATGGTGCATTAACTAATGTTAACAAGCATGGACTTGAATGTTCATAATGCATTAGTAAATGCTCAATTATGATTAATAAATGCTGAACAAGTGTTGTTCATGATTAGTTCATGTTAGTAAATGCATTAACTAATGAACCTTATTGTAAAGTGTTACCACATAAATGATGTCTCACTAAAATATGTAGTAGAAATCCCATTAAATATTTACACTACTTTAAACATCCACGTTTATTTTTGAATTGAATAATTGAATATACTTCATGGGTTTTATGTAACATTATTTAGTCAGAGACATCATTTAATTTGCACAGTATTAAAGCATTCAAGTTATAATAGCCGAGGTTCCATTTAAATGATTTTAAAGTTCAACCTGTGTGATAAACACAGAAACAAATATACTGTGCCATGGATAATATAACAAATAGTCAACCTTGACCTTCTACAGCATAGACTGTTAAAAGCAATTAGGGTCACACTTTACAATACGGTTCATTAGTTAGTTAATCAATGCATTTACTAACATGAACAAACAGTGAACAATACATCTACTACTGTATTTGTTCATGTTAGTTAACGTTAGTTAATGAAAATACAGTAGTTCATTGTTAGTTCATGTTAACTCATGGTGCATTAACTAATGTTAACAAGCATGGACTTGAATGTTCATAATGCATTAGTAAATGCTCAATTATGATTAATAAATGCTGAACAAGTGTTGTTCATGATTAGTTCATGTTAGTAAATGCATTAACTAATGAACCTTATTGTAAAGTGTTACCACATAAATGATGTCTCACTAAAATATGTAGTAGAAATCCCATTAAATATTTACACTACTTTAAACATCCACGTTTATTTTTGAATTGAATAATTGAATATACTTCATGGGTTTTATGTAACATTATTTAGTCAGAGACATCATTTAATTTGCACAGTATTAAAGCATTCAAGTTATAATAGCCGAGGTTCCATTTAAATGATTTTAAAGTTCAACCTGTGTGATAAACACAGAAACAAATATACTGTGCCATGGATAATATAACAAATAGTCAACCTTGACCTTCTACAGCATAGACTGTTAAAAGCAATTAGGGTCACACTTTACAATACGGTTTATTAGTTAGTTAATCAATGCATTTACTAACATGAACAAACAGTGAACAATACATCTACTACTGTATTTGTTCATGTTAGTTAACGTTAGTTAATGAAAATACAGTAGTTCATTGTTAGTTCATGTTAACTCATGGTGCATTAACTAATGTTAACAAGCTTGGACTTGGATGTTAATAATGCATTAGTAAATGTTCAATTATGATTAATAAATGCTGTACATGTGTTGTTCATGATTAGTTCATGTTAGTAAATGCATTAACTAATGAACCTTATTGTAAATGTTAGCACAATTAGTTGACTTTTAAAAAGTGAGCAAACCCGTTACCCTAAAATTATTAAGTAACTAATTTAAGGGTATAATTATACATTCAATTATTAAATAATTTAACTATATAAATTAAGTAAACTTTACAATTTGAACTGGTTTATTCACCTTTTTTAAGTAGAGTTAACTTGTCACTTTTAATGCAATGGGTTTACTCACTTTTAAGTAAAAAACTAACAGCTTTAAAACTATTATAATGCAGTATACTGCTGTTTAAAGGGGTAATGAACTGTGAATCAGCTGTGAGCTTATAGTAATATAAAAACATTCTGCAATTTTTCAGATCTCAATACTTTGTGGTTCTTCTAAAATCAGCCTATACTGAAGACCATCTAAAAAAAACAGGTTCTGAGATGTTCTACTCTATGATGTAATAAGATGGATAAACCCCACCTCCACTGAAGAGCAACACCCACTTCTGCTGTTTGTTTAGCCCTTTTAATATGCAAAACTCTCAGCCAATCAAAGCAGTGGGCGTTTACTTGTGAGTCTAAAATCAGCTCCACCTATTTAAACAGGCAACAGGCGTCAGTTATGACCCCAGCAGTTCATGACCCCTTTCATTTTACTAACAACACTTTATCTGTGTATTATGTCAACTTCAATTTTAAACTGCAAAAAAATATATATATATTAATAAAATATATAAAAATAAACAACCACATTTTTTTTTGATGTTTCTCTTCAGGTTCTGGAAGCAACGCGAGTGACTCGCAGAAAAAGTAACATGGCTGTCCGGTGGGAGGCCGGCATTTATGCCAACCAGGAAGACGCCGAGGAGGAGGAAGAGGAAGAAGAAGAGTAAACCCAACCCTCTATTTTGAAAAGAATGGAAAACAAAACAGAGGGAAAGTGTGCAACAGGACAAACACAAGTATTTATTGGGAATTCACACCTTTCTGAAGATTTGTTCTGTCTATTTCTGGAGCCAATGGGATGTTGCTACTATAAAGGGCTCCAGATAAAGACAACGAAGACCCGCCGTTTTTACATTTCCACTACCAATTTGCTGCATTTTATTTTGTGCTGATTCATTTTGAGCAAGTGGAATGTGCAAGGACAAGGACATTTTGGGGATTTTTGGCATTTATGTTGCAGGTAGGATTAGTAAGAGGATCATTTTGCGTTACAGAGATATGTGTGAACATATAAAGGCATGGGGAAATGAAGTAATTGTTGTGCTATTGGAATTTACAAAACTGGTTTTCTGGTTTGATCAAGATTGGAGCCATGTTTATAAGATCATTTAGAAAAGAAAATAAGGGTTTCAGCATCCAACAGGGCAAAATACATTTTTTTGTTAATCACATGTCCACATGATCTCCACTTTAGCCTAGGAAATCTCAAATAACTATCAGAAATTTGGGTCACACTTTATTTTAAGGTACAATTCTCGCTACTAAAAAAACAATTACCTATGATTTTCGCTCAACCTCCTAATTTGTTGATTATTAAGGTAGAAGTTGGCTTTAGATAATGGATAGGATTTGGGATGTACAATAAGATCATGCAGAATATGTACTTTATAAGTACAAATAAACAGTCAATGGGCTCTATTTTATTGATCTAGGCACAAAGTCTGAAGCGCAGGGTGCAAAAATATTAAGGACGTTTTAGAATCCACTTGTGCTATTTTAAGGACGAATGAGTTATTGGTGTGTTTTGAGAATAAACCAATCATCTCCCACTCTTTTTAAGAGTCAATTGCATCGCACAATGGCGCATTAATATTTTCTATCCGGACTTTGTAAGTGGAAAAACGGAATGCTTCACTAGCGAGAAAACAGTTAAACAGTATCTGCAGCCAGAGGATAAAGAATAAGCCTCCTCCAATTGGCCTTTCTTTTCACTTTTTCTCTTCCATGGATAAGGAAACGTGTTGTACGCACAAACATGCATTAGGCTACATAATTAATTTTGTTTGTTAAGCGCAAAGAGTTGTTTCAAAACTATTTCTAAATTCCGTTCTAATAACCAGCAAACAAATAAATTAACAATGATAACGACGTGTGGTCAAAGTGTGGTTATATCCAAATACACATGCTGTGCCCCAAATGGTCCAAAACCTGACAGTTGGACAAATCTATGCTTATTTTTAATAAAGCAAACATAAATATGCATTTAGTAAATAATACTGCTAATAATGATGACATTATACAAAAGTAAATTGTCACTAATAAACAAAAAAAGCCCCCCTGAGATGATGAAGGCTTGGAGGCGGTGGTTTTTATATTTATGTAGAAAATAATATTTATTTTTAATATTTTATTCCTTTAATTTTTCCATTTGTAAAGATATTTGTGCATTGCTTTACATCCCAACTAACGCGCTCTACGCTGGACTTTAGAACTTCAGCTATTTTAGCTCCTCAAAATAGCAACGCACCAACAATGCACCTTAACACACCTCTTTTCTAGATCGAAACACCCATGAGTCCACAAAGTGGCGCAAATGAATTTGCTATCTAAAAAATGTGGTGGAAAATTTAGGTTGCGTTGTCCTGAAAATAACAACACGTGGTGGAAACACTTCTTGCGCCTTAATGCGCCGGGTGTATGATAGAGCCCAATATCTTTGTAAGAAGCCACTATAGTTACTAGTGAGAATTGGTATCAAAACTAAAGTGTTACCGAAATTTCTCATGTATAGTTCAAAGGGAAACCATGTTTTTTTTTTATATTTTGGTTGCCATTTGTATAACCAGAGTTCGACTACATCTACCATAGTGAAATTATAGTTAGTATATTAAAATAATGGTTGCTTTTGGGTACAAAAACAGAACAAAAAGCCCGCTTTGTTGGTTTTATTTTAATAAAACCATGGCTCATTTTCAGTATGGGCAGAATCTGGGAACGGACTATTAAAAGCACAAACACAAAGTATACTTAGTAATACATAGTGCAAAAAACAATTCAAAACATGTGAAACCCAAAAAAAAAAAAAACAGTATACTTCAGGCAATTTTGAGAGGTTTGTTAGAGAAATAAGGTTTGTAAGCAGAAGAGGAAGAAGCAGTGGCATTGTTTAGGTTATCCCAACACTATCTCACACCAATTCGTAACTTTTAGATTTAGTGACTAATTTGTAATTTGTTTGTACGATGTCATTGATACATTTTAGTAAAATTTTATCCCCAATGACGGTTGGATTTAGGGGTGGAGTTTGATGCCACACCTCCTTTTTAAAAGTCATACATTTTCATACTACTGAACTCGTATATATCCTAACGAATTAGCCGCTAAACTGACAAAACGTAAAATAGTTACATTTTCTTGTGAGATTAGGTTGGTTATCCCTTGACCTAAGACAGGAAATGTCTAAAAATTAATTTTAAGTAGTTTTAAGTAATTTTAATTTTAACAAGGGCCCTTGTTTGACTTGAAGATATAGTGTAGAGAGGAATATGAATAGGCAGATTTTTAGGAATGTTTATTGTCAAGATCACCAGCGATCTACCCTATGCTGAACGCTGGAGAACTACAATTCTACCACTGAACCGAACTACAACTACCATGATGCTTAGTGACAATCAACACCTGCTACAGCTGCAAACTAATAGACCAACTAATAGACAAATCACACACAGGTGAAGATCATTCTTACTGATTACTAGAACTACATACACAGCACACACTGGGCTGAGTCTTCTGTAATGGTGAGAGGCTGACAACGGAGTTGAGGATCCCCGAGCAGTATTAATCAGTAAGAATGATCTTCACCTGTACGTGAGTGTGTATTAGTTCAGATAGTTTGTAGTGATGGGCAAAGTGAGACTTCATGAAACATCAAAACAGTGAAAAGAAATGTGTCGAAGCTTCAAAATGTTTTGAAACCCGTCTCTACAGTGACACCTCGTGGTAATTTTTATGTATCGCTCTGGTGAGACGAGCCTGCAGAGATAATTGGTTCGAATGCAGGGCAATGTAGCTATAGATGGTAGTTTTTAAATGCTCTGTTCTTGTAACATGTTTTATTTTAACATTGGACATCCGAATCAACACTTTGTGATTAAATATGGCTTGGTTTGGTTATAAAAAAGTAACATTATTAAAACGGGATTAAAATCAGAATTCAAACTTAAGCCATTTGAAGCACAAGTACTCTGAGCACACGCACCGTCCACTAGCCAACATGAAATAGAGTTTTTTTTCCAACACTGTCAAACGCAGATTCGCCAGGTCTCAAAACACTTCTGAAATGACCAATGATTTTAATCACTTTAGTCACATGACCTGGGTGTTTTGAATCCCCTTAGTCGCGTGAAATGGGTGATTCAAATCACCTTAGTCACATGACCTGGGTGACTCAAATCACCTTAGTCACATGACCTGGGTGTTTCGAATCACCTTAGTCACATGAAATGGTGTTTCGAATCACCTTAGTCAAGTAAAAATGGTGATTCTAATCACCTTAGTCAAGTGAAATAGTGATTCGAATCACCTTAGTCACGTGACCTGGGTGTTTCAAATCACCTTAGTCACATGAAATGGTGTTTCGAATCACCTTAGTCACATGACCTGGGTGTTTCGAATCACCTTAGTCAAATGAAATGGTGTTTCGAATCACCTTAGTCACATGACCTGGGTGTTTTGAATCACCTTAGTCAAATGAAATGGTGTTTCGAATCACCTTAGTCACATGACCTGGGTGTTTCGAATCACCTTAGTCACTTGACCTGGGTGATTCAAATCACCTTAGTTACGTGACCTCTGTGTTTTGAATCACCTTAGTCGCGTGACCTGAGTGATTCAAATCACCTTAGTCGCAGGACCTAGGTGTTTCGAATCACCTTAGTCACCTGACCTGGGTGATTCAAATCACCTTAGTCACGTGACCTGGGTGTTTCGAGTCACCTTAGTCACATAAAATGGTGTTTCGAATCACCTTAGTTAAGTGACCTGGGTGTTTCGAATCACCTTAGTCAAATGAAATGGTGTTTCGAATCACCTTAGTCACATGACCTGGGTGTTTCGAATCACCTTAGTCACTTGACCTGAGTGATTCAAATCACCTTAGTCACGTGACCTCGGTGTTTTGAATCACCTTAGTCACGTGACCTGGGTGATTCAAATCAGCTTAGTCGCAGGACCTAGGTGTTTCGAATCACCTTAGTCACCTGACCTGGGTGATTCAAATCCCCATAGTCACGTAACCTGGGTGTTTTGGATCATGCTTCAGTGCAGTGTTTTGAAACAATTCAGGGTCTCGACACAGTGTCGAAACATCAGTTTCACGTCAGCCATCCCTAATAGTCTGCAGCTGTAGCTGGTATTGATTAGCGCTAAGCATCATGGTAGTTGTAGTTTGGTTCAGTGATAGAATTGTAGTTCTCCAGCAATCTCCATACGCTAGATCGCCGGTAATCGTGACATTAATGATGAAAGAAGAGGAATGTAAAAATGAGTAAAAGAACAAGACATGTTGAAAGACGCAAGTATCCACACTGCTGAACGGCTTCATTTTTATTTAGAAAGGTGAACGTTTCTCTTTGCATACACTGGCATTTTTAAAGCCATTACAAGCAGAAACGTAAATGCAGCAGTATAATGTGAGAAATGGTTTATTTTTTGGGGTTTTTCATCCATATTGTTTCAAAAATATCACAATAACATGTAAAAATATGTTTGTTTGTTTTTTCATCTTTAAAAGGACACTGACATCAGTGATGTACTACATTAATTTTTGCCTTCGGATGCATTTTAAAGCCACAAATGAAGACAATCCCACAAGCATCATTCAGCAATGTGGCTTCGTTGTTGTTTTTGTACCTTCCACATGCGTATAATATATATTACACAAAAAGTATTTAATGGACTGCTGTCCTTTTATGAGTATATACGTTAAGTATTTGTAATCTTAGAAACGTGCATTACCATAAAGTTACACCAATAGGAACCACGAATGTTTCTGATAGAAGGTGCTTGAACTTTATTTAATAGATGAAAAGAGATTGTAGTTCTCAATACTTTCTGAAGTGTTTCGATGCGTGATGTGAGATTGTGTAATGACCATCAGTTTTAGGATGTTGGATTTATACTTGGACTCTTTGATATGAGATGATTATTGTTGGCGAGCGAAAAATTTGAATTTTATAAGGGGAAAATATTTTTTATTTAAGCAGCGAGATATATACAGCGTTCCTACGAATGGGAAATAGTTTTGGACAAATGACTGGGTGTTTAGTACTTTTACCGCACATTTATTCATATATATACCGTGTTGTGTGTATTTGAGGGCCAAGTATGCCGTGCTATATGCAGTTTGTTTAGGTGTTTAGGGAACATTACTAGCACAGATTAGTTCTGGAAAGTATTGACCGTGATGCTGACAGGTTTTGCATCGTGACATGGGCAGCGTTCAAATGCTCATCTTTTGTATTATAATGAATGAGAAATGGACAAAAAAAAGGTTGTTTTTACCTCATGAAGCTAAATTATAAGAAATAAGCCAATGTTCAAACCTGTAATATAATAGGATTCCTACAGCATAGGATGGTGGCCAAAATTACTTTTAATGTAGAACAATAGAGGATTGAACAAAGGATTGAGTAGAGATTGAGCAATATTTGCAGTTTGTGATGATATCTTGGGACTAAAAGCGAGCACTGCGATCATATTAGTGAAATTATGGCACAATTTCAAGTGCAAAAAGGTCTGCGTCTGTTATCATGATATATCCACTATGCTATCGACAAATAATGAAGCTTCTTTATGCCACAGAATAATTTATACATATATATTACAAAAGGTATTTATAATATATATATATATATATATATATATATATATATATATATATATATATATATATATATATATATATATATATATATATATATATAAACAACGAGGTGATTGCGAAGTTTCATAGCACAATACAGACCTCTTTTCTTAAAACTGCAGTCAATTTCTCAAAATTTCAGCTGGAAAGTAACATTATTATTTTTTTTTATTTATTTTGTATCAAAAATTCTAAGAGTTTGTAAGTAGTTTTTATTTAAAAAATCAGAAATGAGAGAAAACATCGCAATTGCAATAATGTCACAATTAACATCCCAATTTTGACTTTTTTCTCAGATTTATTCTGGAAATTGTACATTTTTTTGAAATTTTTTATTTAATTTTTTTGAGAAAAAAAACTGCAACAAAAACTTAAGGTGGCGAGAAATAATCAGAATCGCAGGAAAGCATATGAACATGCAATTGCAGAAAAATTGCATTTATGGAAAAATGTACTTTTAATTCAAGAATTTTGAGAGTTTTTAGCAGTTTTGAGACTATGAATTTGAGTTAGTTTGTAGTTTTGAGAAAAATAAAACTCAAGAAGAAAACATTGCAATTGCAACAGTCACAATTAATTCACTTTTTTTCTAAGAAATGTTCTTTTAAATTTTGTAATTTTGAGAATTTAGAATTTTTGAGCAGTTTTGAGAAAAACAGGCAGTCAAAATTGTGAGAATCATTTAGAATTGTTGGAAAGCCAATCAACTTAAATTGCAGCGAAAATCTTTTTTCCTAAGTAATGTAACTTTATCTCACAATTTTTACAAATGAAATGTAAATGAATTTTTAAGGAAAGGCAAAAAATACATTTGCATTTTCAGAAAAATGTGACTTAAAGTCCCTGTATTAGAACCCAACGTGCTTTTTACCAATAGTGCTCAAAAATAGATTATTTCACAATTTTGAGATTAAAAAAAACATTTGCATCCAATACCATCAGTAATGAGAGAAAGTCTATTAAACTGACAATTGCAATAAAATCAGATGTTTATATCTTGCAATTCTGCCTTTTTTCTCTGACAGTTTCAGAATTGTGAGGAAAAAGTTGCACATTTCTATATCCTGTGGCAGAAACAGGCTTTGATAAACAACAGACTTTTTTGCATGCAAATTTCAAAAATGCCGCTAATATGATGCAACTAGCCTATTTTAGACGTCTAGTCAAGAAATGACCTCGCCGGTGTCCCGTGTGCATGACAAGTACTGCGCCTGCTGCTGTAGATTTTCATTTTCAGCGTCAGTTTCAGTGCTTTTTAAAATAAAACTCTTGCCTTCAGTGAAATCACAAGTATTGTTTTTACCACCGTTTGAACCAAGTGAGCAGTGTTTTTTTTTATTTTGACTTTTGAAGTAACACCAAAAATATGTTGTGTGTTTTGCTCTTGTTGTTAAATAGTTATTATTATTATTATAACAAATCCATTTGCAAATGCTTTTTTCAAAGGTTTAATGAGTGTTTTATTTCCTTTGGGAGAAACCAAAGGAGTGTTGATTATGGTGTGATCATGCTTTTAAAGCCCTCTTTTGACATGTTAACCACTTATTGTATGTTAATATTCTGCTTATATTGTTTTATAGTAATTGTAAGTCTCACTCTTACACACATATATAATTATTTTCTCATTAAAAAGAAAACATGGAAAATGTCTGTTTTTTTTTTTTTTTTGTCCTTTACTCCGTCGAAATGTAACAAAACTTGGTAATTAGGGATGCAACGATTTGGTTTGCGATTATAGTCTAAAGAATAATCACGGTTATCATGATTATTATGCATTCATTACTTTCAAAACACTGCTAGTTTGGAAAATCACATGAAAACTCCTTATATTTTAAAGTGTTGTTTATTGCTGGTTAGTAACCAAATAATACAACATAAAATGATGATAAAAACAAAGAATAGTTTAATTCTCTTTGGACTTAAAAATAAGTGAAAAAAGTTTTGTCATTAAAACATAATAATTTTACACTGAAAATAAATAAAAATAATAAAATTTGTAATAAATAAATAAAATTTCAATAAATAAATTTAAAACAAATAATAATTCATTAATTAATTTTAAATAAATAAATAAAATAAAATAAATGACAATAAAATAAATTAAATGTAAATGAATTAAAATAAATGTTAAACAATCAAAATAAATTAACTAATTAAATATTAATAAATTTAAAATAAATGAAAATATATAAATAAATAACAATTTAATAAATTAATTTCAAATAAATTAATAAATAAATTTTTTATTATTTTTTACAGAAATTAAAATAATAAATAAAATTTTAATAAATAAATTAAATAAATAAATTAAATTACAAATAATAAATAAGTAGTATTTGTCTAATGTAAATCTAATTAAATTAAATTAAAAATAAATAAATAAATAAATGAACACATAAATAAGTAGTATTTGTCTAATGTAAATCTAAATTACAGAATAGCTGTAAGTTTTTATATAGGTTTTTCCCTTTTACAGTGAAGAAAGGCAGCTGAACCTCTCGATCATTTATATAACAAAATTGTTTGGTATTTTTCATTTTGTATTTTTTTTTCTCTGTGTAGGGCGCTCGCGGCATTCTTTCAACTAGTAGGTACGTCTAAAAAGCACGAGTCTGTCGCTCTATATATGCAAGCCACGTGCCTCCATCAGAAATAACAAACTTGCACGTGCAAAAGATGCGATATGTGACTGGCCCTTAGTTAATATTTACTAATTTACATTATATATATATATATATATATATATATATGGCCCACACTAATGGTGTTGGGGTCATTTTTAACCCATGAGCAGGGCCAGATAGAATCTGTGGAGGTTTTTTGCTATTTCTGCTGAGAATTTTGGTAAAAATCTGTGGATTTCTGCGGAATTATTTTGGGAGTATCCAGCGGAGTATCATAAATAAAACCTTAATATATTTAATAAAAAGTAATAAATTACTGAATAAAAACTGAATAAATTCAGATTTACACATTTACTCAAGCAAATAAACAGAATTAATAATAGGCTAAAAATCTGCAGAAATCTGCGGAATTCTGCGCTCGCAGATTCCGTGTGGGCCTACCCATGAGTCAACAGTAGGGTAATGAATTGCAAAAACACAGTCAAATGAGTAAAGTAAAACATAAAGTAAGTAAAATGATTTGAAAGTTGGTTCAAGTTATGCTTAAGGTTAAAATATTTCACAGCAATATTGTAGGTACAGTAATAGATGTACACGTTTGATAATTGATTGTTAGAAAATCATGTATATTTTAGGTTTTTCCAATAAACTCACTGTAAATCTTCATGATCCTGTCTCAGTCCAGCTGTCTCTGCAGATGTGAGGTACTCAAACTGTCCTGAAATTGACAATGGATGTCCTTCATTTGCTGGATTGGACATGGGCTCCTGTCCTCCTCCTCTGATCTAAAATGAGAAACATCAACCATAAGGTTGTTTTAATATAACAATATAAATTAACTCCAGCACAGTCATATTTATACTTCATTCACGGGTATATTGACTTTCTTTACATACTGAAATATATTCAAACTCTGCTTTATCTATATTGCAACATTTGTCATATGTTTCCCAAACTCCAAAACACTGATTAAGTTATTTTAAAGGTCAAATCATAAGGACATGTTATACACCTGAATGGGCTTTCATCAGCGTCCTTGTTGGATTGTGAGGGAATTGTTTTTCTCTCGTTCTCTTCTTCTTTCTCTCCCTCCTGATCAGGTGTGTCGTTTGGATGGTCAAAATGAAGATGGAGCTCCACCTTGTGGCCGGTAGACATCAGTGCATCTGCACGGCGATGGACGTCGTGCACACACCTCCCATGATAATAATGATGGGATTTACATGAGTTAATAATCAGTGATCGCCACAGCGGAATGAACCCCCAAATTACCCAGCATATTCCAGCCGCAAACCAAGACTGGGAAACACCCACACACACTCTTTCACACACATAGCTCACTACACTATGGAAAATTTCATTCAATTCAGCTGTCTTTGGACTGTGGGGGAAACCGGAGCACACGGAGAATACCCACGCAAACACGGGGAGAACATGCAAACTCCACACAGAAACACCAACTGACCCAGCCGAGGCTCGAGCAGCGACCTTCTTGGTGTTTAGGCGATCGTGCTACCCACTGTGCCACCATCTTAATAACAATAATTCATAATAACTACCAAAGTTATTTGGTTTCACAAATTAATAAAAATTAAATGTCTCATTTAAACCATGAATATATCAGCTAATAGCCTGACGGATAAACAACTACAATTAAAACCTTATGAATAAATAGGATATGTTGTAAGATACATGATCCTAATATAGTATTTGATACGTTTTTAAGTTTTCATTACATGCATGAAATCCACGCTGAATCCACCCTTCTGATGGGATCAGTTTAATCCAGATTTTCTGGATCAAAGTGATCCAAATCCTACAAAAAAGGTCTTAAAAAACCCAAACTAAAGGTTTGATCTGGATCAAAACCAAGATTGGATTACGTGATCTAACCCGATTATTTATTCAATTTTTTTTCTTTTGAAAAACCCATTTTTAAGATTTGATCCAATCTCTTATCCAAAATCCAAGTGGATTACTTTTGAAAAACGCAGCCCAGAAGGGTGGATTCAGTGTGGATTTCATGCCCAAAATGTAATGAAAACTTTAAAAATGTATCAAATAGGGAGACCGGGGATGATTGTAACAAAAATTTTTCTTTAGCACCTAAAACTACCTTTTTTTTAGCTACATGACTGAAACTTTTATTCAAAGTACTCACATTTGTCTACTACAAACATCAACAATTAAAACTTCCTAAACTATATCACAGACTTTGTGAGATGACAAATACAAAGTGGTCATTTGTTACATCCAACCCCACAACTAGGGTAGGTTGTAGCACATACTGGGGTGAGTTGTAACAGGTAAACAAAACTACAAGCGATAGCCAAACAACAGTTTTCCTGTAAATAAATGACTGCAACAATACAATATATGTGAATACTGGAAGTGTATATTGTGTGTGTTTGTGCATGTCTGTATGTGCACATTCATATGTATGTGTGTGTGTGTTTGTATACTTTCAAAGTTCATGTTTCAACCTACCCCGCCACTGTCACCCATTGTTTAGCTAGCTGTATTAGCATGGTGCTTTGAAATTAGCAGGAGGTTGATACACCATTATTTACTAGAGAAACTACAGTCTGACCTGATATAACTCATACAACATCATCTACAACGGCTAACAAAATATTATCTTGTTGTTTTTTTTACTTTTCTACCTCAGAATTCGATCTTCTGTTGTAGCTTCAGAAGAGATTGCAAGACTGACTGGAAAATCTCTATGTGTGATTGTTAAGTTAACCTGAGGAAACTGAAAATGTTACATGACCCCCATCTTATCCCTGATTTGTGGAATTGGTAGTGTTACAACTCTCCCTGTGTTTCAATACCCATTATACCTGGTCTCCCCTACTATATTTGGATCATGCAGTATCTATCTTACAAGATATTCTTTTTATTCATAAGGTTTTAATTGTATTTATTTATCTGTCAGGCTATAGTGATTAGGTAGGCTTTAACGTATTCAGCCTTTCAGTATAGGCCAACAGCAAAGTAGAAAGAGTTTGGCCTCATAAAATAATCCCCCAAACAGCTGTCAAAATTGACCAAAAACCATACATTTTATTCTGTCACTAATTGATATATACATTCATCACAATGGAAAATATTTTTGTTTTTAGAATATTTATTAGTGATGCATGCAATGATTACAGAATCACCAAAAAATGCAAAGAATGGCTGATTTTTCAACAATTACAAAAAGAGATTGAAAGCTTCGTCTGGCAGAGGAACAACTGACACTGAGCAAACCACCAGACTTGAGATCCGCCTCAGACAAGCATAAAGGTAAAGTTGGCTTTATATTTGCACATTCATTCATTTAGCAGTCTTTATATTGTTTACCATTTTACCTTGAATATTCGATCGGAATTAGCATGCAAATATGACTTCTAAACAACATTAACACAATCTAATTCACCGTGAACAATGTTGTACTTTGATAGTCATTTGCTGCTAATATAATTTCCCTATTTAGAATTTCTATGAGAATGTCTGAATATATGAAACCAACTTGACCTCTATCAGACAAGCTGATCTCTCCACATCAGATGAGGAAGTCTGAAATTACTGTGGAGTTTTTAACTTTGTCTTTTATTTAATTAAATACATCTATGTTTGAAGCCTGTTATGAATACCCTCAATGTGCAGTGTTTGTGTTGTAGGTCTCAGATGAGCCGACTGCTGGAGGAGGATGGGGTGGGGTTTTTCTTGTTTTTTTTAAATGTGTGTTTTCATTTTAAATAAAAATAAACTTATATTTACCCCACACTGGTTAATCTACGTGTTGCTCTTTAGTTCTACATTGTGATTTCCCAGCTGTTTGAGCACTGCATCAAGATTTAGTGATCCTGAAAAGTTCTTATATGGATCAGATTGATCCAATGCGATGTTGCTTTGAAAAACTGGCTCAAACAGTAAGCTGGATTACATGATCACGGATTGCAATAAAAAAATACTAAATCCGGATCAATTTTATCCAGATTAAACCTTTTTAAAAACCAAACAAAGGGCTAAGCCAAAAAGAAAATGAATGAATGAATGAATGAATGAATGAATGAATGAATGAATGAATGAATGAATGAACATATTTAAAGAAACACAAATGTGTATACTGTATAACATTTGTAGGCTATAAATTTGTATTCATTAGAAAACAATTATACATTAAACAATGAATAATTTTTAGAAAGTGTAATCTGATTAAATAGCTAAATTAAAATAAACTAAAATAAAAGATTTGATTTAGAATCAATTGGGTGAATTAAAAATCATGGAAATAAGGCTATTAATGACTAAAATAATAATAATTATTATTATAATAATAATAATTCATGTAGGTCAAAATAAATTAATATTTTCATGTGAATCATGTCTTTACAAAAGACTTTAAGATCTCTTTACGACAGAGCATCATCATGACGTGAAATTAGATCACTGCTTTTTCTTAAGATCCTGTTTGACTAGTTCCTAAACCAGGCAAGCAGGTTGCGTCACTTCGGGGATTTCGATTTACAGTATATAATTTTATAAAAGTTTCTACATTTTAAAAAAACGCATATACGCTAGCCAATTTAATCTGCTGACATTCAGTCAACAAATCTGTGTGCGTCCTTTTAACTTAATCAGCAGCAGTGTCGTTTGTTTGTGTATCCTTGACCGCTGAAACATGACGAACCACTGAAAGTATTTCAGCCCGCAACTTCCCCATAGCAGAATGACGCGTATGGGCACAGTAAACAGTCGACTCCGTTCTGTTTGCCTTTAATAAGTCCACATCGATCATGGTTACCTGTCGAAAATACATCGCTCCTCTGGTCTTCAGCGCCCAGGTGGCCAGCTCGTTTTTTGACACCGCTCTCCAAATGGTCGTCAAAGAGCGATGCGCAAACGCCACGGACTCAGACGGCCAGCAGAAAGCCATCACCAACTTCAACATGACCTATAATATGATTGCCAAGTTCATGCCGTTTCTGCCCGCGATCCTCCTGGCTAAAGTCGGAGACAGGGGTTACAGGAAAGTGCCGATAGTCGTTCCACTGGTCGGCTACTTTCTGTCCAGAGGGTTGCTGCTGTTGGATGTCGCTTTTGATTGGCCTCTCCAGGTGCTGTACGCGGTGCCGGTGATCCACGGACTGTGCGGGGGATTCGCGTCCTACTGGGCCGGTGTGATGGCGCTGGTGTCTGTCAGCTCTGGGGAGGAGGAGCGCTCCGTGAGCATCATGATGACCGAGCTGGTGTACGGAATCGCCGGCTTCATCGGGAGTTTGGCTTCTGGTCACTTATTCGCCCTCTATACAGTTAATCTCAAGCAAGGGGTCATTTTATCCGGTTCTAGTGTGGTCCTGTATCTTTTATGCCTGCTTTACGCGGCGACTTTCCTGCGCGTGGGTCCTCCGGCGGTGCTTGGAGATCGGCTGGAGCGCCGGGAAAGTTTTGGCATCATCAACCACGAGGCCCGGGATAAAATCAACATCGCTTTGCTGTTCGTCAGTGGGATTCTGTACGATATCGCAGTGGCCGGAGGGATGGAGATGCTGGCGGCGTACGTGCTCAAAGAGCCGCTGAACTGGGGCGCGACGCTGGTGGGGTACGGGAACGCGGCGGGGTCCCTCCTCTTTATCACTAGCTTTTTGGGGGTGAAGATGTTCACGAGATTGTCTCTAAGGGACGAGAGCATGATCATGGTAGGCATGGTGTCTTTCGCGACTGGGATCTACTTCATGGCATTTGTGACCACAACTCCAATGTACTTTTTGGGTAAGTAATTAAAATTAAATAATTAAATATAAATTAAATTAATAAATAAAATAATTTAAACAAATATTTTATTTAGTTTTACTTGATGCTTAATTACTTCCCAGAGATGGGTTGCGGCTGGAAGGGCATCCGCTGCGTAAAAACTTGCTGGAATCAGTTGGCGGTTCATTCCGCGGTGGCGACCCCAGATTAATAAAGGGACTAAGCCGACAAAAAAAAGAATGAATGAATGAATTATGCTTAATTAACCCTTTTGCAAGCGTACTTGTGTCCAAAACAGACCAGAGAGCATACACTCCAAAAATATGTCTGCTGTTAGTTCAAACTACTTATTTAAAATGAGCTAAAAAATAAAAACAATTTTTGAGGTTTTAGGAGGAAAACTTAATTGTTTTGCGTTCAATTAACTTAAATTCTATAAAAAAATTATAAGATAACTTAATTCCTTCATGTTGTTTCAACACAAATCAGTTGTGTGGATTTTTTAGTGTAGAGTTTAAGTAAGAATTATTAGCCCCCCTGAATTATTTTCCCCCCAATTTCGGTTTAATAAAGAGATTTTTTCAACACATTTCTAAACATAATAGTTTTAATAACTCGTCTCTAATAACTGATTTATTTTATCTTTGCCAAGATGAAAGTAAATAATATTTGACTAAATATTCTTCAAGACACTTCTATACAGCTTAAAGTGACATTTAAAGGCTTAACTAGGTTAATTAGGTTAACTAGGCAGGTTGGGGTAATTAGGCAAGTTACTGTATAACGATGTTTTGTTCTGTAGAAAAAAATATAGCTTAAAGGGGCTAATAATATTGATCTTAAAATGATTTTTAAAAAAATTAAACAGCTTTCATTCTAGCTGAAATAATACAAATAAGACTTTCTCCAGAAGAAAAAATATTATCAGACATACTGTGAAAAATTCCTTGCTCTGTTAAACATCATTTGGGAAATATTTAAAAAAGAAAGAAAAATTAAAGGAAGGCGAATAATTCTGACTTCAGCTGTATATTAACTTTTTTCTGAAATCATAGTGCTAAATATAATTTATTGTTTTAACATTATTTCATGTTAATAAAAAATATATAAAGCATTTATGACTGAATAAACAAAAAAATAAAATGCAAAACATTTTATTTATATATTTTTTTTATTTAATGCAGTGTTTAGATTAACAAATTAGCAAAAGTGCTTCAAATTACATTAAATAGAGACATAGAGAGAAATAGAGATATTGTAGTCACTATATATAGCCTACCTGTGTTTATTTACACAGTATAGTTTAGGCTATATTGTCACATCTCTTCCCTGTTTTGTGTTCTCTTTGTTCTGCTTTCCTTTCAGTTTCTGTTACAGTCTTGTTTGAGTTTATCACTGAAAAAAAATAATCCAAAGATGGTTGCTTGGATTTAAGTTATGTTGTTGTAAACTGTTTATTTGGGCTGAATTTAAACAAGCAAATTAAGTTGAGCATTACTAAATGTAATTTGTTTAAATTCAACACATAAATTATTTTTTTCAGTGAACCGTGGCTTTGGACGACAGGAAAGGATTGTGTTTCAAAGATATTATACTAACTGAAAGCATTTAGACAGATTACCTCCTGCACCTTTAAATAGCAATGATATTCCCAACAATACCCTTTTTACTATACTTTTTGATCAAAATAGTCCCACCCTGGAGTGCATTCATTTTCCTTCAGCTTAGTCCCTTTATTCATAAGAGGTCTTATGGCTGCAGATGCCACTGGGTTAACTCACTGTGGACAACATACCGCTTGGGTATCGATGTCACTTAAAAAACTAAAATTTACATTTAAAAAACTAAATAATAATAATAATAATAATAATAATAATAATAATAATAAATCCAAACATTTCTCTAAATTATTCTAATGAAACAAAACAAAAACTTTCCATTAAATACGAATCTGTCGCCAATAGCCTAGTGGTTAAGTGCGCCAACATATAGCACCATGGTGCTCTTGGCGACCCAAGTTCGATTCCCAGCTCGAGGTCCTTTGCTGTCCCTTCCCCTCTCTCTGCTCCCAATACTTTCCTATTTAATAAATAATTTAAAAATATACAAATCTGGTCAATTTTTATGGCTGTAACAGTAGCTGTTTGGCCGAAAAAAAGACGGGCTTCGGGTCAAACTCATGCCAAAAAATTAGATAAGCTAGCCTGTTGGACAAGGGTAGGGCTACAGCCTGTGCGTCTCGAGCCAGGGCAGGGTTAATATTTAATTATCCAGAGTTTGTTTTACCTTCTTATTAAATAAAAAATGTAGCTATCCATCTATGGTTAAATATGTATGTATACATATTAGGCTTTGCATTTGGGTAAAATTTTAGTGCTATTTTAGCCTTTAATTGACCTGAGCTTTTAATGTATGCATTGTGGCTGAATTTGTAAGTGTGCATTCCCATACAGGCCGTACAAAATATTGTACTATTTCAATGAAGTTATTTTAAAAATGTACAATTTGGCCGAGGCAGCAAAGCTTACAGCAATAAGGAGGCTGGTTTGAGTCCATTTCTGTGGTGTGTTTACATGTTCTCCCTGTCTGTGGGTTTTCTCTGGGTGTTCTGGTTCCCCGCAGTCCAAAGACATGCACTTTAGGAGAACTGGTGTGTGTGAATGAGAGAGTGTATGGGTGTTTCCCAGTACTGGGTTGCAACTGGAAGGGCATCCGCTGTGTAAAACATATGCAGGAATAGTTGGCGGTTCATTGCACACTCTCAGAAATAAAGGTACATTAGCTGTCACTGGGGTGGTACCTTTTCAAAAGATACACATGTGTACCTGAAGGGTCCATTTTGGTACCTCAAAAGTATATATTAGTACCTAAACATTTTAAGAGGAACACTTTTGTACTTTTTAGGTACTGATATGTACCCTTGGGGTATTAATGTAAACCATTTAGTTACAAATTTGTACCTTTCGAAAAGGCACCACCCCAGTAATAGCTCATGTACCTTTATTTCTGAGGGTGCACTGTGGTGACCCCTGATAAATAAAAGGAAATGAATGGACTGTAAGTTCAGAAAGCACATGCAAATAAAAATACGCTAACTGAGAAAGGATTTTCATCAAACAGACAACATACTCTCAAGCAAATACTCAAAACACATGCAAATGGAGAAATCTATTGCAAATAGCAGACCGCAATGAAAATGTATTGGGGGACCCCAAACACTGCAATTCATTCAACATAAAATGTGCAAGCTTTTGTTCATTTTTAGGGCTAGAATATAGAAACCACAGAACCAGGATGTTAAAATAAACAATAAACTCACTTCTCAGATCTGTGACAACACCGCTGACTCCAAACAGGAAGGAGACGGTTTGTTACTTTTCCTTTGTGGTCGGCTTTATTTACATCATGCTCTTTCATCCACATTTGAAGGAAGAGGCTGAGATCACTGCGTTCACTGTAGGTTTAGGAGAGTAATCAATGCTACATGGTGTTCGACAGGGTGTTCGCTTTGTTTAGTATTGAAAATTACTGCTCTAATTCTAAACTGAGAGCAGTGAATCTGGTAGACATGAAACCACATCTGAAAGCGAAAGTAAAAGCACAAATAATTTTTACATATCGACAGCAGTTCGATGATGTGTACATTTTACACAATATTATATATTACTCCAGTATGAATAATGATAGGGTAACATCTATGTTACCGCAGCTATGTTTACTGTAACCTGTTTGCTGCTATCCTCCCTATATATGAACAATATCACATGAGTAGCAGTGCGATATGGCTGTTTATCAGCAGGGGTTGGAGGCGTGTGTTGGTCATTTGTCAACACTGGGATGTGAAAATAAGGGATATGCCCACCATAATAAGGGATATCCCCCTATATTTTTGCGCCAATTCAAATTGCGTGTACAGAATCCGTTTGGGAAACATCATCTATTTATCAGCTGACAGTCACGCACCGCTATATGACTGTTTTGAAGATTGCATACGATGGTACATGTAATGAAAAAGAAAGGGAATCCCGCCAATTTTACATAAATATATATATATATATATATATATATATATATATATATATATATATATATATATATATATATATATATATATATATATATATATTTATTTATTTATTTATTTTATTTTTAAGTGCTTTTTAATGCCTAAATAAAACGAAAGCACAGAACAGACTCACATTTAAGAGCAAGGGTCGACTCCTGGTGGTTTGGTGGTATGAGTTGCGTATAGGGAGGATCGGCTTATTATTATTTATTTTTTTATTCTTATTATTTATTGCCACCCTTCAGAGAAAGACTGAAAATACAGGAGAAATACTGAAAAAATACTTTAACAGGATGATAGCATGATAGAACTGTAAAATACGGGAGAATCCCGGGAAAAGTGGGAGGGTTGACAGGTATGGTGTTGGCTCGAGGTAGCAGGCCAAGTGCCGTAGTGTCCCACCAGTGATGATATACAGCCATATCGCACTGCTACTCGTGAGATATTGCGTTTACACAACCGTTTGACTGCATAATCGCATAATCGTGTATATAAAAAAGAAAATCAAACACAGAGTCTAAATATCCCTTTGTATGAGGAACTACTTTCTTTCGCCATTCATTCACATCTGCAGCTCTGAGCTCAGAGATAGATGAGCCCAAGGTTCCCACCTAGTCAATAAGCATGTAAGGTGATACAAGATCAGGTAGTTTTCAAAGACTCCCCCAATTTGTTCAGCCTATTCCTTCATTAACAATAACAGCCACATAGGAATAGACCGCCATCCACACCAGTGCATATGTAACGGAGGCCAGCTAGTGGGTAGCTAGCTAGCTAGAGGCCATGGTCTTTAGCCTCCTTGGTAGAGCAACTGACTCCCATGTGGAAGGTTGCCGGTTCGATCCCAGCTCGGAGCGGGTTGGGTAGCGTAGAACTGGTGGGGTTACATTGGTGCCGTGACCCGGATAGGAGTGAGGTTGAGGGGGGTGAGTGTAACGGAGGCAAGCTAGCGTGTGCTGTGCTGGAAAACCTCACTCCTCTGACCTCTAAAGGTGCTCTAGCGACAGACGCTAGAGGCCATGGTCTTTAGCCTCCTTGGTAGAGCATGCGAAAGGTTGCCGGTTCGATCCCAGCTCAGATCGGGTTGGGTGGCGTAGAACCGATGGGGTTACACATACTCACGTAGAGAAGCTCAGTAATAAAGTGCTTGTTACTGTTACTGTTAGTTCACTTATGTCTCATGTCTTTGGACTGTGGGAGGAATCCGGAGGGGAAACCCACGCCAACATGGGGAGAACATGTAAACTCTGCACAGAAATGCCGAATGGCCCAGCTAGGACTTGTGCCAGCAACCTCCTTGCTGTGAGGCAGCAGTGCTAGCCACTGAGCCACCGTGTTGCCCAATCCTAGATTTAACTAGAAAAGAGGAGGGAGAAGGGGTAGATGGGGAGGGGTCTTCCAAAATTAAGATAGGGACTAAAGTAAAGCTGCGGTCACACTAGAGTTTGAGCTTGCGAAATTCTGTTGTACAGCGCTGCGAAAAGGATTGAACAAGATGATTAGACGTTTAATAAAGCAAGCAATTGGTCCATTTTTTACATTTCCGTCCAGATAGGTCATGTTTTTATCCTCGATTGGTCTCACGCAGTCATGTGATGCGATTTTCACAGGTCAGAGTTCACCAAGCTTGAACTTTCCGATGCAGCGATCTCCAAAACATGTTGCACGAACTTGCTTTTCCGATCTGACACATTCACGTGTGTATTAATGGAAGTCTATGGGGAGGAAAGTCCAGTGTGACCACAGCTTTAGGCAGGATATTTATGTTGAGTTTGGAATGATCTGATTGGCTAGCTAATGATTACTGATGGGGGACCAGCTGCAATCAATCATATGACTGGCTCCTCTCGAAGCTTCACTTAATACAGTGATCTGAGGTTTTTGTCTTGTCTTTATTTTTTAGCTCGCTCCGTCACTCTGTTTGCTCTGATTCCAATGCCCACCATTCGCTCGCTGCTGTCCAAACAAGTCAAGGGAACATCATACGGTAGGTTGCTATTTATTGACCACTAAACTTTCCTGAAAAAGAAGCTAAGACTTCAATTTTTGTAATTTGCATGTTTGTTCATATATCCGTTCCAGCCTGATCTCACAAGAAAACGTAAGTATTTTACGTTTTGCCAGTTTAGTGGCTAATTCGTACAAATTCGTACGAGTTCAGTCGTACGAAATTGTACGATTTTAAAAAGGAGACGTGGCACCTAACCCCACCCCTAAACCCAACTGTCATTGGGGGATGAGCAAATTGTACTAAAATGTACGAACTAGATTGTACGAATTAGCCACTAAATGATAAAGTAACGAATTGCCGTGAGATCGTGTTGATCTGTTCACAAAACCTTGTCACTAAGACCTCTCCTAAATAGTTTGACCTAAAAGTATGCATACAGTGATGGCTGATAAAGAGGGGAGGGATAGAGTCTCTGTGAGGGATTATTTAATGAAAATGTAATTGGCAAAAATGTAGAACCCGATATTATTTTTCCATATTCAAATAGAGGTTTTAAAACAAAAAATGATGTCATATTCAAATAAAAAGTTGAACATGTAGGCAAAGTAAAGAATTGCATTGTAAAAACTATGTTTATTGGTTTTAATGATTTAGGCATAAAATTAAAATGTTCTTCCTGTGTTACACATTAATGTATTTTCTTTAATAAAAAAAATTACAAATGTATATTTAAATGCTTTTAAATAATTACCAAATTAGAATTCATAACATGTGGTTGTAATATGTATATTTTTGTCTGTGTGTGCTTAAATAAAAGTACAAAATATTTTTGAAAACATATTTCTGACCATACGGGAATACCACTGCAATGAGGATGATAACTTATCAAAAGACTATTTTGGTCAAATATTTTTAAAATGTTTTCTTTCCAAGGCAGAACAGCCATTTTCATCAAATGGCTAAATATTTCACAAACTTGAAGCTACTGCTAAAATCCTTTATGAAATAATTTAGGGCTCCTAAATTTACAGTAGCGCTGACACACTTATTTTTGAGATTTTCTCCTAAACCAAACTTTTAAGTCGCTTTGAACAAAAGCGTCATGTAAATGAACAATTTAGGAGCTACTTTTAGCCTGTTTTATCTTTTATGAACATGGACCTTGGTTTATGACCTGAGAAAGTGAAGTGAAAACAAAACTCTGAAAAACACAGAAGTGAAACTCTATCTGAGTGTATTCACAGATGGAGTCCACACGAACACATTTGTTTATGGTAACAAGAAGTAGCTTTAAAGGCACATGTAAATTGATCCATTCTAACCCCTTTTTTGATGGTTTTGGAGATGTTATCAGTGTTTACCAACCCCCATGTTTTCGAAACACCCACCTCATGCTCAGTGATATAAATAATCTTCCGGTTGGTTGATTTCTTTGAAAGAGGTTAACATTTGGTATAACAGAAAAGTAGAATGGCCAAATAATGAACCCTGAGGCACTCCAGTATTTAGCCAATTGATTTAAACACTTCTTTCCTTGAAGATAACTTGGTAAAACAATTTAGATCTGAACAGTACCACTTTAGAGAGAGTGCACAGGACACATTTTACCCCAGCTACAGAGAAAATTAGCTTGAGACCATGTGTACTTTCTTTATTAACACACAACTAAGAACAATATGTTGTAATCAGAGAAATTAAGAGTTTAGATGCAAAAAAAACTCTAAATGCCGTCTGCAATTTTCCTCTAAAATTAGCATTTTTATCAGGTTCCTGGGTGTGTGTTCAGTAATATCACTTTCATTCACTTTCAAAGTCCTTTTCTTGGTCTTTAAAGTGAAATATCTTAACATAAACAAAGTAAGCTGAGAAAAATGTTCATTTCTGATAGAAATTTTAAACAGCACTTAGAAGTTTTTGCATCTGAACTGTTTAAATTAAGCTTTTCGAAGCTCTCACAAGTGCCCTGCACACACAAGAAACAGGAATATTCAAAAACGTCTTTCGTTTATTAATAAACTATAGGAACCAGGAACACAAGAACCAAGTACATTGACTATACCCTGCTAAAAAATCCAGCTTAAACTAGCCTAGGCTGTTTGGCTGGTTTTAGCTGGTTGACCAGGCTGGTTTTAGAAGGGTTTTGGCCATTTCCAAGCTGGTTTGCAGCCATTTCCAGTCTGGTCTTACTGGTCAGGCTGGAAAATGACCACCCAAATCCAGCTAAAACTAGCTTGACCAGCCTGGTTTAAGGTGGACAAAGCTGGTTTTGGCTGGAGAAGCTGGTTTTAGCTGGTCATCTCCCAGCCTGACCAGCAAAGACCAGGCTGGAAATGGCTGGAAACCAGCCTGGAAGTGGCTAAAACCCCTCTAAAACCAGGCTGGTCGACCAGCTAAAACCAGCCAACCACCCTAGGCTGGTTTAAGCTGGATTTTTCAGCAGGGTATAAAACCAAAAATAAAAAGAAACAAATCTTACAGTATAAATACACAGGACATGATGAACTTTATTACAAACAGGGGTGAGACACAGGTGAAACTAATCAATACAAATAAATGGCTGGAAAACAGAACAAAGGAATTACCTAATACAAACAAAAGCATAGAAAACATAGAACACATGACACAGGGAAACACAGAACCTGACACTCTCAAGTCAACTGAGTTAGTTGCTTTATAAAATGATTGACCATTTTGAAGCATTCAAACAACACTGTCTGCTGGCACCTGCTGGTTAAGAGTCTAAATGCAATGAAAACTCAACCCAAGCATCCATAATCACACTTTTTTGTAAATCAATTGCAAACTTTTTCATGAACGAGTAACCTATGACATGTAATTTAAATAATATAGTTGTTGTGAAATAAATAAATAAAAATAAATATTACAAATGCAGGTTTCAGAGCTGGGCCCACTGTTCCTTTAATACCCACACATATAATCAAGGAATAGTGAGGTTGGTTATGGGATGCCAAGCTGAACAAGCTCCTTTTAAACTTTAATTAGGGACTGTTTATTTAGCATGTCTTTATAATTATTATTATTATTTTTAATTGACAATTTTCATGATTAGCTACTTTCATCCCACAGGCATTACCTTTGTCATGCTCCAATTGTCCTTCAAACTTGCGAGTTTGGCCACCACACCAATCTATACTAAGATTTATCAAGCCACACTCGACACCTTCCCAGGGTTCGTCTTCATCCTGTCCAGCATCTTCACTGTTCTTTCTATTGTACCCATTAGGTAAGCTGAACATTTATTTATTATTATTTATTTATTAAGCTTTTAATTATGATAATCACCATCATGTCATTCTAAAAAATAATCCTTTTGTCTTTATGTTTTTGTATATCAAGTATTGTAGGATGTCGCTCTTCAAGACAAAACGGATATGAGAGAATTCAAGGGAACTGACAGCATCGAAGACTTTCTCAGAAGTGGACAAGTCTTCAAAATATGCGTCTTTGCACAATAAATTATTAGGTTTACACTGATGTTTCATGCAGTTGAAACCAGAGGTATACATACACTAAAAAAAGGAACATAACCATTTTTTTAAAAATGTCTGATGATAAATCATACTAAACGTTTACTATTTTAGGTTCGTTAGGATTACCTAAATAATTTACTTTTGCTAAATGCCAGAATAATTAGAGAATTTGTTTTTGAGAATTTTTTATTAATTTCTAGACAGTCAAAAGTTTACATACACTTCCTTAGTATTTTTTTAGCTTTGATTTTAAAGCTGTATAACTTTGGTTAAATGTTTTAGGTATCCTTCCACAAGCTTCTCCCAATTGTTTGCAGGAATTTTGGCCAATTCCTCCTGACAGAATTGGTGTAAGAGTCAGATTTGTTGGCTGTCTTGCTCGCACAAGCTTTTTCAACTCTACCCACAAATTTTCTATAGGATTGAGATCAGGGCTTTGTGATGGCCACTCCAAAACATTCACTCTGTTGTCTTTAAAGCACATTTTAACTAATTTGGCAGTATGTTTAGGATCATGGTCTGTTTGAAAGACCCATTTGTGGCCAAGTTTTAATTTCCTGGCTGATGTCCTGAGATGTTGCTTCAGTATTTCTACATATTGTTCTTTCTTCATGATGCCATCTATGCTGTGAAGTGGACCAGTCCCTCCTGCAGCAAAACAGCCCCACAACATGATGCTGCTGCCCCCATACTTCACAGTTGGGATGGCGTTCCTAGGCTTGTAAGCTTTCCCCTTTGTCCTCCAAATGTAACACTGGTCATTATGGCCAAACAGTTCAATCTCAGCAGACCACAGGACATGTCTCCAAAAATTATTCTTTTCCCCAGTGTAATTTAGCAAATTGTAATCTGGCTTTTTTGTTGATTCTGGCTTGTTGGTTTTCCCATGTTGTCACACAAGGAAGCAGTGTGTTTGAGGTTTTCCTTAAATGCTATTCTACAGCTGTGCCTCCAATTAACTCAAATGTTGTCAATTAGCCAATCAGAAACTTCCAAAACCTTGACACCATCATCTGAGCTTTTTCAAAGGCAGAATAAACTTATTGTATTTAAACTTGACTTGACTCAAGAAAAGTCATAACAATTTCTCAAAACATATCTCTCTCATTATTCTGCTATTAAGCATAACATAAGCTAATTTGATAATCATAACTTACATTAAAGAGAAAAGGTTTAGTCACATTAACATCATTTTTAAAATGGTTATGTTTCTTTTTATACAGTGTATGTAAACTTCTGGTTTCAACTGTACATTTGAAAATATTTGTTTTTATCAGTCAGTTGACTAGACGTCATCTTGTTATCTACTGGAATAGATAACGTTACTTTCTGTTGCACATTTGTGGTCGTGAAATTTGTACAGATCATTTGAAGTCTGTGTAATGAACAGAACACCTGACAAATAATGCTGGGCGGTCATTCACCGGTGTCTAGATATTTTGTTTACACATTATTTTAAGCTTCCATTTGTTAGCTAGATAACCGCATTATTTAAAAATAAACTAACAATCAAAGATACTTCTGAATTGTATTGATATTAAACATAGCATTCACTAGTATGGTAATGAAATCTGAAGCTCTTTCTGAATTATTTAACTGACTAACACCAACTAACACTGAAAGCTGCATAATTATTAAACAAAGATGAATAGGTGCTGTTAGTCATTGTAAGTTTATTGATATAATAACAATGCTAACATTAACAAGCTAATGATAGCCAGACCTTATTGTAAGAATTTACTGATATTTCTGTGCTGCACTGATCATATGAAATGACTTCTTGATGTACAGATTTTGCAATAAATTGAATCATTTGTACATACGTGTATCTTATATACAATTTAAATATTCAGAAAATATAACTCAAGCAATCGTTGTTCTGTAATGACAGTCTACGATTTTGCGAAGTTTTACATGACTTGTATTATATATTAATAATTTTTATTGCATGGTCTAATATTAAAACATTTTGGTAAAAGGTATAAGAAAATAAAACACCATAGACTGTAAGATATTATTTGTACAGCCTATATTCATGAGCAATATCACACTCTTAGCAGTGCGATGTGGCTGTATATCGGCATTGGTGGGAGGCGTGCATTGCCTTAGTGCCCCTTAGGGTCATACCTTTAAACTGTTATCCTGCATTTGACAAATCATTTTTAAAAAGGGTTTCCAGGTGGCTTCGAAGCCGACAGTGTTATCAGAAAGATTGTGTCTTAGTCTCTCTAAATGTAAAGTGGTATAGAATACTGAAAGCCAGGATTTAAAAAGTGGTTTTGATGCCTTTTCCATAAAGAAAGAATAATTTTTTTTTAGCTAACATCATTCCATATTGGACAACTTTTTAAAATTGACGACTGGACTACGATATGAGTCAGACCAACCCCTAATTTTTGACGAGAATATAAATAAAGGATTCAGTGGATTGCATTGTTGTTTAACAACCCTCTTGAAAAACCCAGCTTAAACCAGCCTAGGCTGGTTGGCTGGTTTTAGCTTGTCGACCAGACTGGTTTTAGAGGGGTTTTGGCCACTTCCAGGCTGGTTTCCAGCCATTTCCAGCCTGGTCTTAGCTGATCAGGCTGGGAGATGACCAGCTAAAACCAGCTTGGCCAGCCTTGCCAAGCTGGGAGTCCAGCCAAAACCAGCTATATCCAGCTTAAACCAGGCTGGTCAAGCTGGTTTTAGCTGGATTTGGCTGGTCATTTTCCAGCCTGACCAGCTAAGACCAATTTACACATGGCAATTTAAGTCATTTGAAATATCAAAACTGGTATAGGAAATGTCGAGAGTTGAAAAAAAAAATGAATGTGCTAAAACTGTATCGCCTACCTCATTTTCAGCCGCGTTAAATTCAAAATGGCGTCAAACCTGAAGAGAATCTATCCAGCAGATAAGTCACTGTGGAGGACCTGCTATCTGAGGAGAAGGAGAAAGGTTTTATTAAAAGAAAATACTTTTTCACAGAAAAGAAAATATCAGTTGTATTGCAGTTTTGAAACACTAGAGGGCGAGCGCTGATTACTCACGACTGCAAAGCCTGTTTTCTGCAGTTATTGTGGTAAATTAAAAGCTTCTTACCTTGGGAACAGACTAACCGAGGAATAAAATAACCCTGAATTTATACATCGCTTCCCATTTTGGCTAATAAACAACAAACTGGTTAATAACAACAACGTTTTTTCCACTCATAACAGTTCCAAGGGCGAAAATGGTTCTTTAGATTAATATTTTTACATTTTTCATACACAAAAAATGTTCTATTAACACAATGTTTATTGAAAGGTTGTTTTGTCACCCAAAATGCTTCCACTTCTGAAACTTACTTTTAAACGGTAAGTTTTGCAGTAACTCAAAAGAAAACTACATCACAAATATGCAGAATTTTGAGATCTATGTATGTATAAAACATGTACAGAAATCTGTTCTTTTTTTATTAATAATGATTTATTTTTAATTAATAATTGCATGCTGGTGGTGAGTCATTAACAACAAAGAGGATAAAAAAATCCAAATTTGAAAATGTATAATTCTCAAATTTACAATTTAGTTAATAAATTAAGAATAACATTCATTCATTTTCTTCTCGGCTTAGTCCCTTTATTAATCTGGGGTCGCCACAGCGGAATGAACCGCCAACTTATCCAGCATATGTTTTACGCAGCGGATGCTCTTTTAGCTGTAACCCATCACTGGGAAACATCCATGCATTCTCATTCACACACACACTACAGTCAATTTTAGCATACGCAATACACCTATAGCGCATGTCTTTGGACTGTGGGGGAAACCAGAGCACCTGGATGTAACCCACGTGAACACAGGGAGAAAATGAACTCTACAGAAATGCCAATGCACCCAGCCGAGGCTCGAACCAGCGACCTTGCTGTGAGGCGAACGTGATACCCACTGCGCCACCCTGAGAAAAAAAAAAACAATAATTTCTGTCTTATTCTGTGAATATTGATGGCAAAATCGTTACAAATTTAAAATAAAAATTTTATTTAAAGCTTTTTTTCATGAAATAAAAGTGTATATTTGTTGTATATTTATTTATAGATTTATAAATACAGTTACAAAAAATACAGTTTTTTATCACAACATAAAGCGTGTTATTCTTTACAGTTGTGATTTTCTTTACAACAAGCTTAAATTACAATATTTCTATTTGGAACTTGAAAAACGTCTACCTTTATAAAAGAAAAACTATTCATGCATTTCACGTAATTATGATTATTTTAAAAGGCAAAACAATTCTGAGCTTTTATTTAAATTTGAAGAAAAACTTCAAGTCAGAATTTGCCAGGGGTATGAATAAATAAACTTGCAAAATGATAAATATAATTCTGGAGCTACATTGTTTTCAGGAGGAAATACTGTATTATACCATATACATACATTTAAAATGACTGGTATGCATAATTTGTGCTCTATGAATCTTGATCTGTCATGGAAATGTCATAATACAAAATTAAAACAAACAAAAAAAAAACATTTAATAACTTACACTACCTGACAAATAGTAAGTAATACCTGACAAAAGTCTTGTCGCCTATCCAAGTTTTAGAGACAACAAATATTAACGTGACTTCTAGTTGATCATTTGGTTTCAGAAGTAGCTTATATGAAGAGCAAAGGCCTCTAGATTAAAATACGATCATGCCTTGATTTTTAAATATTTGATTAGGACAGTAAGGTCTGACTTTGCTTAGACTAAAGTCTTGTCACTTAACAGAAATAATGTCCAGTATAGAATATAAAGTCAAGGTGTAGTGGAAAAAGAAGGAATATTGTGTCTGACTCCATCATGAGCTTGGAGGACTGCATCCATACATCTCTGACTCAAATCACTTATTAATAAAGGCATCTGGAATGGCAAAGAAAGCAATCATGCAGGACTCCCAGAGTTCATCAAGATACATTGGATTCATCTTCAATGCCTCCTCCATCTTACCTCAGACATGCTCAATAATGTTCATCTCTGGTGACTGGGCTGGCCAATCCTGGAGCACCTTGACCTTCTTTGCTTTCAGGAGCTTTGATGTGGAGGCTGAAGCATGAGAAGGAGCGCTATCCTGCTGGAAAATCTGCCCTCTCCTGTGGTTTGTAATGTAATGGGCAGCACAAATGTCTTGATACCTCAGGCTGTTGATGTTGATCATCCACTCTGCAGATCTCTCACACACTACCATGCTGAATGTAACACCAAACCATGATTTTTCCTTCACCAAACTTGACTGATTTCTGTGAGAGCCTTGGGTCCATGCGGGTTCCGGTAGGTCTTCTGCAGTATTGGTGATGATTGGGATGCAGTTCAACAGATGATTCAATCTATTTTCCACCACTTTTCCAAATGATCAACTAGAAGTCAAGTTATTATTTGTTGCTCGTACAACTGGGATCGATGACAAGACTTTTGTCAGGTAGTGTATAATGCCACACAAGATTTCTCTAATAAATAAATGCAGAAACCAAAAATAAAAAGCAGCACAAAACGTTTAATCAACAATATTAATGAACGCTTCTCGAGCAGCAAGTCAGCTTTAGAATGATTTCTGTAGAAAAATCATGCGACACTGAAGACTGCTGTAATGACGCGGAACATTCACCTTTGCAAATACCTTTCTAAAATAGAAATCGAATCTTAAACTATAAAAACATTTGAAAGATATTGCATTACTATACCATTTTCTCCTTTAAAGTAACAGCTGCCAATAAAAAAAGTCCATTATGCATTTACTAACAGCTTTGTATTTTAGATTTCGCACTTGAATCTGAAAAGAGATGAAGCGCTCTCCATTATTATCTCCCCATTACATTATTAATGTCTCAAACCTCACATTAGACACCCCAACCACATCCAAAGCCCCATTACAAGACAAGTACAAATCATTATGACACATACGTTATCATAAATATTTAATGAGGTCAAAGTACGGCTGAGGGAAAAAAATCATCCTTCATTTCAATGTAACAGCCACATTTTGATAATAACGGGGGATCCTGGTGCCAAGAAATCGTCTGGAGAAAAAAAAAAGATATCAAACTTCAGGTCCACGTCTTTGGCAAGAGGAATGTTGGCAAACCTTCGGCGAACAAAAACAAAACAACAACAAACAAAACAAAAGAATCACTGATGTCTCTGTTGCCTCGGATGGGCAGCAACAAACAAGCATTTACAAAAGGATTACTTGCAAACATTTCACTAAAAACTACAGATGTGTTGACGTTACCAAAGGTTTTCCGTCGCTCTGTCATCCTCTTGTCCGCTTCAGAGTCACGTTTTTGCAGTTTTACTCCCAAGTTTGAGAAGAGAAAACTACAAATTCTCCTTCCACAAAAAAAGAGCGGGAAAACAAGAGAGAGAACCATGGGCTTTTACAAATAGAGACACCTTACAAAATGGATTTCTAGTAGTTTGTCCAGTCCAGTAGTGTCCCGTCCTTGTGCGTCCCATCATGTTGGACGGCCTGTTTGAGGATCGCGAGCTCTGAAGCTCGGATTGAGAATGGGTGAAGTTCGTGCTCAGTTCGTTTCACCTTTAGCGTCCTGTTTGTCTTGTAATAGTGGAATGAGAGACTCCCAAGCTGCAAGGCACTGTGGGACAGACGCAGAAAGTCAAGGTTAATCCCAGTTACCGCTCAAATAACATTATTTTCACCAGACACGTGCAAGTCCTGGGAATCAATGTTTGCAGTGTGGGAAACGTGTATTTTTCACAAAAGTACTAGAACAGTGTTATATTTTGCTGACTTGGGAACTCAAAAAGTTTCAAATGATGTTCGAATTCAGAAAAACAAGCATTTTTAACAAGGACTATGTCCTGTGTGGCCATGATAACTGCGTCACACTCTCGATTTCTAGTTTAGTTAGTTAAAAAAGAAAACAGCATTGAAACAGAACTCTACAAATTAGGGATGCTCAAAATAATCGATTAACCGTTAAACGAAAGTGCGTTTTTAACCGATTAATGATATCAGTTAAACGATTAAAAATATTATCTTATATATTTTTAGAGGGGCGTCTTTTGAATGGTTTACTAAAAGCCGCAATTGTTTTTCACGCGGCTCATCCTAGAGCAGCAGTTGGTACTAGTGCTCGCTGTTTCAAGTTATCCAGAGCTGTATGAATTTACAAATCTTGAATATCACAATAGTATTAAATATTACAATTGTAACAACACATTCAGCAACACTCTTGCACAATCAATACCCAGCTGATTCAGTCGATTCATAGCCTTTTCTCCTTGTCAAAAGGAGCGAGGTGAGCCTCACGTTTTTGGAAAGGAAAATCACGTTTGCTGTGATCAGACATATTTGATAACTCGCGGGACGGTACTGTATGACCACTCGTGCCTACAGACATATTTGCCAAAGAAGCAAAATGGAAGAAGAATATTGCTGTTTGATACAGACAAGCTGATGCCAAACCAGCACTGATGCTGATCGCCTCCTGAATCTGCGTCATAAACACAACAAATAGGCTTTAGCTTTCATTTTACAGCTTATAAATTGTATGCAAATTAATGCGATATCATATTTAACAACAAAACTGTTTACAAAAAGTCAAAATATGAGCGCGTTGTCGTTTTCTTTTCATCACGCAGCACGCACACTTGAACCGCGCAAGAGAGGAAACCATATATCAAGACATCTTTAAAATAATGATTTTTTTCAAAAATGTAAAAAGGTTTTGTAATATAATAATAACAGCGGGGCATTAAATAAATGCATATTTTCCATGGAGCGAGCGATTTGTGGAAGTCTGCTATTTTTATTTGATGGAAGAAAAAAAAAACATGAATGGAAAAAATTTTAAATTCTTGAAAAGGATCAGTCTGCGTTTTCGTTTTGTTCTCTAAATGAATTATTTAAGTGAAAATAATTTAGGTCAGGCCTATTTATTTTATTCATTGTATTTATTTTATTCTGTTTTTCTATACCGTTGGAAACACTGCATGTGCGTGAAGATGATCTGTTGTTATGTTCTGTTATTAATATGCTAGCATGTTAAAATATCAGTAAACTATCATACTTATAATCAGTATTTTGAAATGCAATATTTAATGTGTCATTTTACATTTTTACATTTTACATTTAGTCATTTAGCAGACGCTTTTATCCAAAGCGACTTACAAATGAGGACAAGGAAGCAATTTACACAACTAAGACCAACAATAAATAAGTACTAAAGGCAAGTTTCAGGTCTGTAAAGTCTAAGAAGGGAAGTGTTAGTAGTTTTTTTTTTTTTTTTTGTACAGTTAGTGTGATATTCAAAGAGACAATTGCAGATTAGGAAGTCAGGCAGACACAAAATAGACACGTCAATTTGTTTAAAATTTTTTATAATAATTTAATAGTATTCTGACCAGTTAACCGTTAACAACCGATTAACGAGCGGCAGTTGTCGGTTAGCAAATTTAACCAAAATGAGCACCCCTACTACAAATGTATTTAGTATGATAAAACAGCGCTACTTCTTCTTCATGTGTTCATAAGCAGAACAAAAAAAGTGGTGGATTGGGGAATGATAAAAGCTCTGCAAATAGTAAATAAGGAATAGCTTTGCTCTGATGGTTCTAGCATGCATTCATTCATTTTCTTGTTGGCTTAGTCCCTTTATTAATCGGGGTCGCCACAGCGGAATGAACCGCCAACTTATCCAGCAAGTTTTTACACAGCAGATGCCCTTCCAGCCGCAACCCATCTCTGGGAAACATCCACACACACATTCACACACACACTCATATACTACAGACAATTTAGCCAATCCAATTCACCTGTACCGCATGTTTTTGGACTGTGGGGGAAACCGGAGCACCCGGAGGAAACCCACGCGAAGGCAGGGAGAACATGCAAACACCACCCAGAAACGCCAACTGAGCCGAACCAGCGACCCAGCGACCTTCTTGCTGTGAGGCGATAGCACTACCTACTGCGCCACTGCCTCGCCCGCTGGTTCTAGCAGTATTATTGTAATCCTGGACTCTTCTTAATTTAGCAGCTCTGCTTAAAATGTAGCGCTGCTCTGTTAGAGTTTGGCCAAAGAGCACAACTGAAATGTGTGACAATTTCTGTTCAAGATCTTCCGTCAGCTGAGCAATTTTCGGCTCTGGATACTCTATAAACAGTGTACAGTGGGGAAAATAAGTATTGAAGACATAATGTGTTTTCCTGATGATAATATTTTTAAAGGAGCTGTTGACATGGACTTGAACCACTTTTTGGTAAAATTCCAAACAATATAAACAAATAAAAAAATCTGCTTTTTTAGGTGTAATAACAATGAAATGACACAATGAGCTAGTACTGAACAACTGAAATGCATTTAATACTTTATATAAAAGCCTTTTTTAGTGATGGCAGCTTATAGATTGCTCAGATGTGAGGTATTTTTTCCACAGACTTCAACTGAGTGTAAACATTTTGATGGTTCTGTGGGTCTCATCTAGCAAATCGGATCTTTATTTTGTATTTTCTATTGGATTCATGTCAGGTGATTGGGTGGGCCATTCTACAGCTTGATTTTCTTTCTCTGAAACCATTTGAGAGTTGCCTAGGCTGTGTTTTGGATCGTTGTCTTGCTGAAATGTCCACCCTAGCTTCATCTTCATCTTCCTGCTAATGTTGATGTTGGACTGAAGCAGCGAATATTAATCTACAATGAGGAAGGGCAGAGGGTTAACGAAGAACTACAGAGAGATTTCAGCTGCTGTCTGGGCTTTCACTGCCTTTCTACACCTCCCTTCCTTCATGTGTTCAATACGTTTTTTTAGTGTCATTCTTATGCATAACTTTATTTGTAAACTAATTAGATTAGTTTTATTTTGCATATATGGATTGCTTTGGTTGTTATCAACAGCCGGTGCTTTCACCCTCAGACATACCTCTGTCCATGGTTTCCCTGTCCATTAGCTGGATCAGCTCAAGGGGTTACTTTGGACAAAAAATAAGGCTAAATCCAGGGTTGCATGAGGAGCTCAGTCATGGAGGGCTTCTTTCCCTGCCTGAATGAGGCTCCACCCTGATGGTCCTCAATGTTGGTGCAGTGAGGGGTTATACCAGCATTCCCCAGGCAAAGTAGGCCACTGAGGTTAACCCACGGCAAATCTCCTCCGCTGGACAGGACATTCCTAAATTTCCATTCAAAGTGTGTAAGTGTTCAGAATCTCCAGATTCCAGGGCTTGCAGTGCTTCAAGTCAGGCCCCCTCCTATGCACACTATGGCCACTTACCTGGCCTGCCAAGCCCAGGTCCTGGTCAAGCAGCACAAGGGCAGTGCCAGTGGTCATGCGTGACCTTTGCACAACAACCAATTATGCACTCATGCGGACACAGATTTCTACACTAATGATTTAGGATTGCCAACTCTGGATGAACCTGGCGGTTACGTGGGACACTGTCAAAGTTTACTTTTCCGGGACTCCATAACTTCGAGGGACTTTACCTAGGAGTTCCCAACAGTGTAGGATCAGTCCAGCATGATAGCCCATCTACTCCAGCAGAAAAGAACTGCTAAGCCAGCTGCAGTCTCCACACCGACCATAGAAGTCAACAACATTGGCCCAGCGGCTGTGTCAAGCCCACTGCAGGACTTTGATGCCCTATTTTAGGATACTGCTAAAGGCTGATTTATTCTTCTGCGTCCAACGCCGGCGTATGCTACGGCGCTGACACATAGCCCTTCGCCGTGGCTGTCGTCGTCACTGACGTGCACCTCTCAAAAAATGTAACTACACGTCGCAACGACGCGTAGCGCAAGCTCTGTGATTGGTCGGCTTGGTAGCGCTGACGAGTCTGGGCGGGACAGAGAGCCACGCGAATGGCGCGAGCGATTGTTTACAAGAGTGGAGTCCCGTGAAGGAGCTCCGGATGGAAAGTTTTGTTCTGTGTTTACCTCATAGTTAAAGTTGTTGCACGTCCGCCGGTTCCTGCCTCAAAATGAGCGAGCTTGAGCCACTTGTACATCCCGGAAGTGTTCAGGGAGAGCAAAATAGCACCGAAGAAACTCGACACAGAGGAACATTTACACCTCACTGCCAACTAGCGTTTCGGAAGTGTAGACCAACAGAGACAGCGCGCAGAAGTATAAATGCACAGCTACGCGCGTTGCATGCGCCGTGAGTTACGCCCGTCACTTGACGCAGAAGTATAAACCATGCTTTAGTCTGGTAACAAACTATAAGGTGTCTTTACGGTATTGCCATCCAGAGATTGACAGGACTGGGCCATCCCCTTAGTTGGGCTGTGGAAAATTTCACAATTCCAAAATAGCTACTGGCCTTGAGGCTAATAGTACCCAAATTTTCAAGAGCAGTTTCCTCTGTCTCTAGCCTGATTTATACTTCTGCGTCAAACACCGGCGTATGCTACGGCGCTGACGCATAGCTCTTTGCCGTGGCTGTCGGCGTCACTGACGTGCACCTCTCAAAAAATGTAACTACACGTCACAACAATGCGTAGCGCAAGCTCTGTGATTGGTCGGCTTGGTAGCGCTGACGAGTCTGGGCGGGACCGAGAGCCGCGCAAATGGCGCGAACCCAATGTAGCGATTGTTTACAAGTGTGGAGTCCCGTTAAGGAGCTCCTGATGGAAAGTTTTGTTTTGTGTTTACCTCATAGTTAAAGTTGCTGCACGTCCGCTGGTTGCTGCCTCAAAATTAGCGAGTTTGAGCCACTTGTACATCCCGGAAGTGTTCAGAAAAAGCAAAAAAGCAGAGAAGAAAATCGACACAGAGGAACATTACCACATCACTGCCAACTAGCGTTTCGGAAGTGTTAATGCAGACCAACAGAGACAGCGCGCAGAAGTATAAATGCACAGCCACGCGCGTTGCCTGCGCCGTGAGTTACGCCGGTCACTTGACGCAGAAGTATAGACCAGGCTTTAGTCTGGTAACAAACTATAAGGTGTCTTTACAGTATTGCCATCCAGAGATTGACAGGACTGGGCCATCGCCTTAGTTGGGCTGTGGAAAATTTCACAATTCCAAAATAGCTACTGGCCTTGAGGCTAATAGTACCCAAATTTTCAAGAGCAGTTTCTTCTGTCTCTGGGTGTAAAGTCTTGGGTGCTGCCAGCAAGAAATGCACTCAATCTCAGCTCGCAATCCCAGAACATATGGTCACCAGATGGCAAAAAGGTTACCTGCAGAGGACAGGTACCTTCAGCCTCTCCACGGGACACTGGGTGAAGGTATGTACTGTACTGCACTCACCAGCCCTCTCATGCTGCTCAGCCCATCTCATTGGCCCACTCAGACAATCTGATTCAATGCCAATGCAATTAAATTCACCATATGGCTTACCAAGCGTCCCAGTTTGAGTGGTTTCAAGCATACGCAGATATCTTTTATAGTACAGAGAAATAAGATAGGATTAGAAATAATAGGAAATCTCTGAGTTCCTGTGCCCTTACCTTCATATTTGCCAATGACAGGTCTACACTAAGCAAGGTATCAGCACAAAAACATATTTAGCAAAATATTGCTGAAGCGTAAATCCAAAAAAATCAATATTGCACACCTATGGAAATTTCCCTTTTCAGCACATCATTCCAAGCAAAGAGCGATCAAGCTTCTCACCTTCTCGTAGTACTGGATGTTTTTGTCAGCCATCCCCGTCAGCAGCTGTCGAAAATCCTGTCGCTTGTTGTTCTGCCAGCGGTCCCAATCGGCTTTCAGGTCAGCATTAAAGCACTCTACTCGATCTTGGCACTTCTCCACATCAGTGGGCATCTGCAGGACGGAGATGTGCAGAGAAGGTCAAAAAAACACGTTCATTTTCTTATTCACTCTAGCGTCAGCTCTTATCTAAAATGTTTGTTCATCTGCATTTTCCTTTTTTCTTTTTTTTATAACTTTTTTGGTGGTTTTCACCTTTAATATGGGTAGCAGAGAGAGGAGTAAGATCGGCAAAGAGCCTCGAGCCAGGAATCAAACTCGGGTCGCCGCAAGCACCTGGGTGCTATATGTCGACGCACTAACCACTAGGTCAGGGGTCACCAACCCTGTTCCTGAAGAGCTACCTTCAAGCACATTTCATTTGCAACCCTGACCAAACACACCTGTTTGTAATTATCAAGCGCTGCTTTAGGTACTATTAATTGGTTCAGGTGTGTTTGATCAGGGTTGTGACTGAATTCTGCAGGAAGGTAGCTCTCCAGGAACAGGGTTGGTGATTGGCACCAACAAGGATCTGCATTTTCTAAACGTGGGGTCACCAACCGTATTCCTGGGGAGCTTTGTTCCTGCAGAGTTTAGCTCCAACCCTGATCAAACACACCAGACCCAAATAAATAGGACCTGAAGCAGAACTTAATAATTACATACAGGTGTGTTTGATCAGGGTTGCAACTGAAATCTGCAGGAAGGTAGATCTCCAAGGAACAGGGGTGGCTCCAAGGAACATGGGATAGCATAGCGTCCATCCGAAGCATACTTCAGAATCGGGCCGGAAGTAGTAGGTCATCCGGCTACATCTCATATTTTGTTTTTCAAATTCTATAAAATCAGATATACTACTCGGCTCGCATACTGTTTTTAGCATACTATATAGTATGGAACTATGCAATTTCTAGCGCAGCTCAGATTTTTTAAAGAGTCTACACTACTCGGATTGGTCAGATTGGAAATTTTTCCACACAAATGAAAGGTAATATCAGGAAAAGCACAATAAGAGTTAGCAATCTCACCGGCGTCTTTTTTTCCTCTCTGAAAACAACAGCCTCCAGTTTTGTTTCGTATTCAGCCTGGACTTGGTCTCTCTTTTTAAGCACATTCTGTAGAACAAAAAGAGGTTTGTGAATACAAACATTTGTGAAAGGCAGACAATTTTTGTGATAATTCTTGTGGTCAATAAATGGTAATAATTATGATTACTTTTACTTATGCACTACTTGACAAAAGTTTTGTCGCCCATCCAAGTTTTAGGAACAACAAATGGTCTCTGCAATGACCAAAATAACTTACTAATAAGTCATCTAGAATTGCAAAGAAAGCATTCTCGCAGGACTCCAAGAGTTTATGAAGGTTCTTTGGATTCATCATCAATGCCTCCTTAATCCTACCCCAGACATGCTCAATAATGTTTATGTCTGGTGACTGGGCTGGCCAATCCTGGAGCACCTTGACCTTCTTTGCTTCAAGGAACTTTGATGTGGAGGCTGAAGCATGAGCAGGAGCGCTATCATGCTGAAGAATCTGCCCTCTCCTGTGGTTTGTAATGTAATGGGCTGCACTAATGTCTTGATACTTCGGGCTGTTGATGTTATCATTCCCTAAGATCTCTCACACACTACCATACTGAATGTACTTAGCTGAGAATCTTGGCTCCATGATGGTTCCAATAGGTCTTCTGCAGTATTTGTGATGATTGGGATGCAGTTCAACAGATGATTCATCAAAAAAAATTTACCTTCTGCCACTTATGAATATATATACAGTTTAAGTCAAAATTATTAGCCCCCCTTTGATTTTTTTTCTTTTCTTTTTTATATTTCCCAAATGAAATTTTTCACAGTATGTCTGATAATATTTTTTCTTCTGGAGAAAGTCTTATTTTTTTTAATTCGGCTAGCATAAAAGCAGTTTTTAATTTGTTAAAGAACCATTTTAAAGTCAGAATTATTAGCCCCTTTAAGCTAGATTTTTTTCGATAGTCTACAGAACAAACCATCATTCTATAATAACTTGCCTAATTACCCTAACCTGCCTAGTTAACCTAATCAACCTAGTTGAGCCTTTAAATGTCACTTTAAGCTGTATAGAAGTGTCTTGAAAAATATCTAGTCAAATATTATTTACTGTCATCATGGCAAAGATAAAAGAAATCAGTTATTAGAAATGAGTTATTAAAATCATTAATGTTTAGAAATGTGTTTAAAAAAATCCGCTTTCTGTTAAACAAAAATTGGGGGAAAAAATAAACAGAGGTGCTAATAATTCTGACATCAACCGTATATATGTAGTTATTTTTAAGAGCATTTGATCTCAATCCTGTGAACATTTTTAGAGAAGTTTTCTAAAAGGAGGAAGGAAATATAAAGCCCTATTTCAGCACTTGTCTCACTATTTGCTGATTGTGTCAATGTGTCAAGCTAAGACAGACAGGAAGTGATTTCCTCTGCTGAGCTGCATTTGAATGTTGCCTCAGAAAAAGATGCAGTAGTATTTTTAGGTCAAAATGTAGTACAATTATGAGTACTTTTGCTTTTAAAAGGGTGTTGGGCCTAATTTGATGTACACACCATAAAGTCTCATTTATGAATCGGTTCATAGCCGCATTTATTTAATCAAAAATACGGTAAAAACTGAAATAATATAATTTGGAATATTACAATTAAATTGACATGTTTCTACTTTAATTTATTTTCAATTGTAAATTATTTTTACAATGACAAAGCTGAATTTTTCAGCACTCATTACAGTCTATATTATCGTAAAATGATTAAATGAACATGCTTGTCAGAAGACGCATACCATGGTCATATCCTAGGACGACAATGCCAATATTCATTAGGCTCAAATTGTAGAAAAATATTTATTTTTACATATGAATTCACCACCAGCTGACTTAAACCCCAAATCAGGAGCCCCAATGAATCTTTGGATTGCATGAAATAAGATTAGCGATGAGAGATACGACAATTTTAACGCAATGTAAGGTCATTGCACAGTGAATTCGAAATGTTCACATTGTTAGAAAAAATTCATTCAACCTCATATTTTGTCAAACGCATTTACACACCGTCTCCAAAACCCTTCCTTTTGTCCTTCATACAGAAAATTGAGCTCAATTTGTTTTGAGAGTACAGAGCCACATTTCAAGTGAAAGCCAAAATCCAGGATGCTGTCGCTTGAGGCAAAGAGCAGTGTTATGGCAAATTCTAAATGTGTGCGGATGGTTGAGAAGAAATGAAATGAGCACAGAACGAAGCTGCGATCCACTGACCTTCATGGATTCGATATAGAGGACGTATTCTCTGAGAACGGGGAGAAAGTCTTCACTCATGTCCTCTGTGAGCTCCTCCAGAGCGCTGGAGCAGTTGGACACACAGCCTGAAACCCCTTCCAAAGGCTCATGGAGATCCTCCTCGAAAGAAGACCAGGATGAGTAGACCGGCCCGTACTCTCTCAACTCCATCAGGAACTCTGAGAGACGACCAAAGAAAGATCAGCATTTTCATCAGTGAGCAGTGCTGGGTTTTTTTCACCCACTTGCTGTTTATTTTCACCGTAAACTTCTGTCTTCTAAAGGCTGCACGCTAAGCAAACACATACAGTGGGGAAAATAAGCACTGTCATGTTTTTTTCCTGAGAATAATATTTCTAAAGGAGCTGTTAACATGGAATTAAACCAGATTTTGGTAAAACCCCAAACAATACAGACATAAATATTTCTTTTTTATTATTATTATCATGTGCAATAATGAAATGACACAAAGAGCAAGTTCTGAACTACTGAAAAATATTTAATACTTTATATAAAAGATTTTTTTTAGTGATGACAGCTTAAAGATGCTTCTCATATGGAGAATGAATTCACATGCATTGCACAGGTGTGATTTTTTTCAACAGAGACTTCAACAGAGAGTCTAGATTGTTCTGTGGGTCTCGTCTGTCAAATCTGATCTTTATCTTGTATTTTCTATTAGATTCAAGACAGATGATTGGCTGGGCCATTTTACATCTTCATTTACTTTCTCTGAAAGCATTTGAGAGTTGCCTTAGCTGTGTTTTGGACCATTATCATGCTAAAATGTCCCCCCTGGCTTCATCTTCATCTTCCTGCTACTGTAAATGTTGGACTGAAGCAGCAAATATTAATTTACAATAAAGAAGGGCAGAGGATTGCTGGAGAACTACTGAGAGATTTCAGCTGCTGTCTGGGCTTTCACTGCCTTTCAAAACCTCCATTTCTTCATGTGTTCAATTCTTTTCCCCCGGTGCCATTTCATGTTATTACACATAACGTGTTGTCTGTGTGTGTGTGTGTGTGTGTGTGTGTTTGTATTGCTCTTAGAATCCAACATGGAAAGCATTTTTGTTTGTTATTGGCATGTATTGTTTTGAAATTTAATGCCACTTACATGCCTGTGTTTTTTTCTTTTGTAATAAATACGGCATTTCGTAATTAATCACGATTAACCATGATAAATTACATTTCGTGATAAACCACGATTAATTACAAAAAAGTGTGATTAATCACATACATTTTTTTAATCATTTGACAGCACTAATATATATATATATATATATATATATATATATATATATATATATATATATATATATATATATATATATATATATATATATATATGCATACATACATACATACATACATACATACATACATACATACATACATACATACATACATACATACATACAGTTAAAGTCAGAATTATTAGCCCCCCTTTTAATTTTGTTTTCTTTTTTAAATATTTCCCAAATGATGATTAACAGAGCAAGGAATTTTTTACAGTATATCTCATAATTATTTTTTCTTCTTGAGAAGTCTTATTTGTTTTATTTTGGCTGGAATAAAAGCAGTTTTTTATATTTTTAAAACCATTTTAAGGTCAAAATTATTAGCCCCTTTAAGCTATATATTTTTTCAATAGTTCAATATTCAAAATCATCATCATGGCAAAGATAAAATAAATCATTTATTAGAAATGGGTATATATCATCATTATGTATATATATATATATATATATATATATATATATATATATATATGTGTGTGTGTGTGTGTGTGTGTGTGTGTGTGTGTGTGTGTGTGTGTGTGTGTGTGTGTGTGTGTATTAAAAAACTGGTGTGAAATCCTGAAGAAAAATAACAATAAATAAATAAATAAATGAAAGCTAAAATACATTATTCAAAAATATATAAAACAGTGTTTCACAAAACATATATAGCCAAACACACAACTATTTTTAAGTATTTATATATAAATTATGCATTTATAGTTATTATTGTAGAACATAAATACTTATTAGTATAGAATTATTTTGTTTAATTAATTACAATTTATTAAAAAGAATACATTAATCACTGATCTAAACATGCCTGGCTAGATTATTTGATATATTGATTATATGATTAACCATGATTAATTACGTTTCGTGATTAACCGTGATTAATTACAAAAATCATTAATCATTTGACAGCCCTAATATACACACACACACACACACACACACACACACACACACTACATTGAATCATATTTCGCTTTGTGTCTTTTATGATTTTTTTATATATATAATAATAATAATAAATCTTTGCTTATAAAACAATGGGACACGGTAGAGGAAAAATTACAACTATATTAAACTTTTCATTGTTTTCATATACATATATATATATATATACATATATATATATATATATATATATATATATATATATATATATATATATATATATATATATATATGTGTGTGTGTTTGACCCATACAGATACACATAATAACAGTGACAGTGTTTACCTGTCTGTTCTTTAATGATTCTTTGTGCTATCCTGTCAATGGTGCCCAGTTTCTGTGTGAACATGTCCAGATATTCCCCCATAGCAGCAAACTCCACCGGCCGTCCTCTCAGTTTATAACCACCCGTCACGTACTTCACAGATTCCCCCATTTTAGTCAGCAGAGCAAGACCCTGACGCTTATTCAGGTCCTGAGGAGTCAAAACATGCAGTACATCAGTCCCGTCTCACGGCCAGGAAAACACTGCCAAACTCAATGAAATCCCAATTTCCCGAAACACACTTTCTGCCCAGAAATACATACCAACGACACATTTCAAAATCATATTGCTAAACAGTGTTGAGTAACTCTCTGAAACATCTGGATCTAATCAGAAACCTATTGAAATAATTGAAAGAGTTTTCCTTTTGCTGTTAGAAACTGTAATAAACTGCTCTATTTCCTGTCATGGATAAGTAAATATTAGCAGGGATACACTGAAATAAAAATTCTGGACTCAAACCAAAAATTCTAAATGCACTTGGCTGAAAATGCTTTGTAATAGTAATTTATTATTTTGTAAATTATTACATTTACGAAATAAAGAGAATTGAAATTGCATGCTAATTTGAGGCACTCACCTTTGCTGAGAGAAAAGCGTTGAAGTGTTCGTTGAAGGAGAGCACCGGATGATCTGCTACACGTTTGAGGAACTTGTCTAGCGCTTTTCTCCTCGTCTCCACAAACTCCTCTGAAAACCGGTCCACCACTCCCTTCATTACAAACTTCTCAGGTAAAGGCTGAATTATTTCGGAAAAAACAAATAAATGTAAACAATGTCAACCGAGCGGCCATGAAATAGCAGATTTTACATTATTAAAGGGGTCAAATGAGCATTCTTTTGTGTATTACAGTAGGTGTAATGCGATGTGTTTATAGGAGTAACATCTGTGATTAGAGCTGTGGTTTCGAGAGCTGTGCTGTGGAGGGTCTTCCTCTACCTACTGGAATAAGGTGTGTTGGTTGACTGTCCTCTAATTTTATCCTCAGCCAATCAAAGTCCTGGTAGCGTCGCCTTACCGAGTACTCCGGCAGGTCAAATTCTGTTCTGGTGGTCTGTAGGTCATACAGAAGAAAAACAATAATGAGTAAATAACATATAATTGGTCAGCAAGGATGACTTAAATTACGATGAAGTGACAGTGAAACATTCATAACGCTAAAGAAGATTTCAAATAAATGCTTTAGATTTAGCAAAAAAGTTTCTAATATTGTTAATAAGAAATGTGATTTGAGCAGCAAAAGATCATAGACAATGACACTGAAAACTAGAGTGATATTGCTAAAAACTTTTGCATTTAAATTAAATGTAAAGATACATACACATTTATATGTACATATATAAATGTACATATATATATAAATGTACATATATACACATATATATATTTATATATACACATATATATATATATATATATATATATATATATATATATATATATATGTATATATATATATATATATATATATATATATATGTATATACACACACACATACACACACACAAACACACACAAACAAACACACACACACACACACACACACACACACACACACACACACACACACACACACACACACACACACACACACACACACACACACACACACAAAAAACATCTATTTAAAACGCTTTCTTATTGTCAATAAATAAAAAGGACTACTACATTTTCTACATTTCTTATTTTCAGTGATGGGAATAACGGCATTATAAATAAATGGCGTTACTAATTGCGATACTTTTTTCAGTAAAGAGTAATCAAAGTAACTACTGTTTCCCCCGTTAATACACTGCTACAATTACAGACATTTAGCGATGGGAATAACCGCACTATAAATAAACGGCGTTACTAACAGCAATACATTTTTTAGTAACGAGTAATCAAATGAATTACTGTTTTCCCGTTACAACGCTACTACAGTTACTGACAATCAGTGATGGGAATAACGGGGCAATAAATAAATAACGTTGTTAACAGCGATACTTTTTTCAGTAACAAGTAATCAAATGAATCACTGTTTCCCCGGTTACAACGCCACTATCGTTACTGACAATCAGTGGTGGGAATAACGGCGCAATAAATAAACAGAGTTACTAACGGCAATACTTTTTTTCAGTAATGAGCAATCAAATTAGTTACCGTTTCCCCGTTACAACGGTGCTACAGTTACTGACAATGAGTGATGGGAATAATGACGCTATAAATAAACAGCGTAACTAACGGCGTTACTTTTTTCAGTAACAAATAATCACATTAATTACTGTTTCCCCGGTTACAACGCCATTACCGTAACTGACAATCAGTGATGAGAATAATGACGCTGTAAATAAACAGCGTAACTAACGGCATACTTTTTTCAGTAACAAATAATCACATTAATTAGTGTTTCCCCGTTTACAACGCCACTACCGTAACTGACAATTAGTGATGACAATAATGATGCTATAAATAAACGGCAATACTAGCGGCATAACTTTTTTTAATAATGAGTAATCAAATTAACTACGGTTTTCTATGTTAGAATGCCGTTATCGTCCCTGACAATCAGTGATGGGAATAACGACGCTATAAATCAACGGCATTACTACGGGCAATATTATTTTTAGTAACGAGTAATCAAATAAATTACTGTTTCTCCTGTTAAAGCGCCGCTACAGTAACTGACAATCAGTGATGAGAAAAATGGCGCTATAAATAAACATCGTAACTAACAGCGTTACTTTTTTCAGTAACGAGTAATCAAATTAATTACCGTTTCCCCAGTTACAACGCCACTACCGTGACTGACAATCAGTGATGGGAATAACGACGCTATTAATAAACCGAGTTAATAGCGGCAGAGTTACTTTTTTCAGTAACGAGTAATCAAATTAACAACTATTTTCAACGTTAGAATGCCGCTATCGTTCCTGACAATTAGTGATGGGAATAACAGCGCTAAAAATTAACAGCGTTACTTTTTTCAATAACGAGTAATCAAATTAACTACTGTTTTCTCCGTTAAAACGCTGCGACTGTTACTGACAATCAGTAATGGGAATAATGGCGCTATAAATACACGACGTTACTAACGGTGTTACTTTTTCAGTAACGAGTAATCAAAAATAATTACTGTTTTCTCCGTTAGAACGCTGTTGCTGTTACTGAGAATAAAATGCGAGCTACTAAAATTGAGAACACTGACGGACTAGAACAAAGGATTAAGGCAGTTCTGAAAGCAAAAGAGGGTCCGTCCAACCTGGTACTATTAAGGTGTACCTAATAAAGTGTATACATATAATACATCCACTAAAATAGTTAGAAAATATTACTTTACAAATGTTATTCTATAGAAATCATCGAAATATTTGCATATTGTACAATAATACATCTAAAATAAATTATTTTTATACATTAACATGAAAATAAATCGAACATGACAGGTCAAATCAGCCAGGTTATAAGCGTTATAAGTCTCTGACCTTTGTGCAGACTCTGTAGGTGATGTACGTCTCCATTGTAGACACGTGCTTTTTAGGATCATCTACAGTCACAAACAGGTCGCGCGTTTCTGCGTCCAAATCGTCGTCGAGCTGCAGTCGGTTTAGTAGCGATGAAGAGGAGGCGGGGCTTGATGTGTCTACTGGAGTCCCATTGGGCAGACTCAGGTCCTGGGAGTGGCGAAAAAAAAAAAGAGACTCATTTAATCAAACAAAACACTGCTATTGTTTTGCATAAAATAGCTTCATTTGTGTTCTGATAGTGAATGAAGGTCTCAGGGGTTTAGATCGACATGAGGGCGAGTAATTAGCAACAGAATTTTAAAGGGTCATGACACCCCCCACTTTCGGTTCAAGTCTACCTCAGAATTTTTTTTAAAATGCATCATAATGGGCGTGGAGCTCCGCAATCAGAGGCAGGAGTGGGCGTAGCCAGCAGAGCAGGGAAGAGAACAACTGTTGTCAGTCGGCTCACAGAATGAGACACAAACAGTGAGAAGACGCATGATTTTATAGTGTACAAAGTTCAAATGCAAAGAAATAAACAGTAATTTAATGCCCTGCTACATTTGTTATTCGTAATTTCATACACACAACCACAATTTATATCATTATAAAGATAATCGTGTTCATATAAACACTATAAATGAGGACTTCTCCCTCAATCCCCGAGTCTGAATGCAAACTCGGTGCAGCAGGTCTCTTGTCCTGCCTATTTCAACCATTAGCCCTGCTGGTAATCTGGAGGATTTAGGCCAGGGGTGGCCAACCCTGTTCCTGGAGAGCCACCTTCCTGCAGATTTCAGTTGCAACCCATATCAAACACTTGAAAACTGAGTGTCTGTTGTACCAATTGAGAGTTTCTTTCGATGACGCCACAGCCACGCTGAGTTCTTCTTATTAAAAGGATTCTGCTTTGAAGATACCGAAAGCTCTCCCTGGTTTTTTGGGCTCGTCTTAGAATTCCACAACAGTTTGGTGCCGTGAGCCACACTGGAGAAATCCACAACAGAAGGTTCTAAATGTATAGGGCATAGGGGGGATAAGTGGAAATAGAACACAGCCAGGAACTATGTTTCAATCTACAGCTCCAGAGGTGTAGTTGCGAGTGCTCAAGTTTGCGATGCGGTTTGCGAATGTTTGTTGAAGCGGCGGATTTGGGAAACGGCAAATCAACAAACTATGTTTGTAACGACTGAACTTGCAACCGTAGTTGGCTAACGATGGTTTTGGGAAACGCACCCCTGGTAAGTTTCACAGAGTAAGTTACCACAGTAATAAACTCTGAGTTGAATTTACCTTTATTTCTTTTCTATGATTTAGCACTGCGAGCGCAAGGTATTTCCCTCGTACAGTCTAGCCGATCTGCTTCTCCTTTCTATAAAATTTAACAATTTAATTTGACGTTGATTCTTTTCTTGTACATATTTACAGTGATTTTAGTGACAGTTTCTGAACTTCTGTGAGTTTATTATGTCTGAGAGATTACTGCAAGTTTACTACACATCTATTCTGATACACTGTATTCAAACAACAATAAATTAAGGGTGCTTTCACACCTACACTTTTGTTTCGGAACGTATCTCGTTTGCCCAGTTAGCGCGGTTCGTTTGGCATATGTGAACAGGGCAATCGCGCTCTGTTCCGCGCCAAAGTAATCGCTCCGAGGTCGCTTGAATGAGGTGGTCTCGGCTCGATTGAAACGAACCCTGGAGCGGATCGATTACAGTGAGAAAGCGATCCGATCCGAGCGCGGTTATATCACAGTGTTTTATGGATATGTAATAGGCATACGGCTATATAAAGAGAGAATTATGAGTAGGGCGGGAAGTTTCGCGAGTCTCTGGATGCCCGCAAACGAGTGATGATCTGCCGGTAATCTCGCGTCTCCCTCCCGGTCCTCAAATAGGCTACGTCGCACACCCTTCACACCCCTCCCCACCGCGTCTCTCCTCAGGCACGTCGCGCGCGCGCACCCTGTCAATCACCACCAAACCAACACCTCTCCTGACAGCTGAGCGGGACGCTGCAAAATAAACCCTGACACTCTGACCAATGTGAGGAGAGTTTACTCGCACGTGACTTGTTTTAGCTCTTTTGGTCCGATTAGAAACTTTGCAGTGTGAAAGCGAACCGCTCCAAGAGCAAAGAGCAACAATGTAACAATTGTAATCTCTGTTTCAGAACAACTGAATCGATTCACAGGTGTGAAAGCACCCTAAATTGACATGCATATGTAAACCGCAGTGCAAATATGAATACCCCTTTTTAAACCATAGGCTGTTAAACAAACAGAAACTGCTGGACATGATGACGTCAGTAATATGCAAAGTGACGTAATCCAGCTTCATTTAGCGACTTTTTGAGCAAAGTTCTCATTGAAAATAGTTGTTAACACTGTCATCATTAGTAAAATATCATTAGTGTTAAAAGAAACTAAAGTTGCTGGCATTATTTTACCTAGAAACTGCAGCGAAACGAGAGTTGAAGTGCTTTTTTTTTTTTGCAGGTTCACAAAAATGTAGGCTTATTCACGCATTTCCAACGAGCCTGTGTTGCATACGTCAGTGGGAAACTTACAGCTCATTTATTATCCTCTCAAGATTTCTCCTTAAGAACTGCTTTTTCTGCTGAAGAAGACTTTCGTCATCCTTTGAGTGAAGAAATCATCTGAGCTTGCAGTAGATTTCCTCCTTTCTAATAAAAACTCTTGCTTTGTCTGGAGATGGCAAAATCAAAGTCCGGACCGTTACCCTAAACAATGACAACTTTGAAACATTTCTTATTTCACATAAATTATTTGAAACAATAAAATAGACAAGTACTTCGCTTTATGAAATTGAACTTGATGCAGACACCAAAATGGCCCGAGTCCATAATAAAGCAAAACAGAAGAAAAAAAATCTAAAATACACTCATCTTTTGAATTAGACAACAAAACTATATTCTGTTATAATATCCAATAAATAAGCCACAGTGCAGCTGACAACAACAAACAAACAAATAAATCAGTGCTATAACGAGCAGTAGCTCAAGAACGGCTCTTCTGTGTTATGTGAAGCACAATAAACTATTGACTTGAACAGCATCAGGGATTCTGTACCAAGCTCAACCCAGCTCTATTGTACAGCAAGAATTCACACATGATATACAGCCTGCCAGTGTTCTCTCAGTATTATATGCAGTTGATAAATAAACATATGAAATATGAGCAATAACAATTAATAACTGATAGATAATAGATATCAAATACATTTTTTTTTATCTGTGTGAACTGCAAGTTTCTGCAGATCGTAACGGGCCATGAAACCCCCTTGTTTCAGCAGGGTGTTTTCACACCTCTACTTTGGAAAAAAGTGGGCGTGTCCAGCTCTGTTTAGGGGGGAGTGTCGGAGGAGGGAAAAAGGCAAGGTCCGTAAAAATTTGCATAATTAGCAGCCAATGACTAGCAAAGTACGGCATTGCTTACAGTCTATCAGATAGTGTTGATGTTGTTTTGAAGTCATCCTCGCATGCTAATTCTGATTGAATATTCAAATTAGCGTGGAAGACAATATAGAGACTTCTAAATGAACGAATGTGCGAATATGAAACCAACTTTACCTCAATCATATCATGTCATAGTTTAGAAATCATATATCAAACTATTGATTTTTTCCGAAATCAGTCAGTTGTGAAGAAGAGTTAAAGTTGGCTTCATATTGGGATATTTAGACATTCTGCTTAATAATATAATATTAGAAAAGTATTCTTTGCAAATTCTAAATTGGGAAATCATATTAGCAGCCAATGACTAGCAAAGTACAGCCATGTTTACAGTCAATCAGATAGTGTTGATGTTGTTTTGAAGTCATCCTCGCATGCTAATTCTGATTGAATATTGAAATTAGCGTGGTAGACAATATAGAGACAACAAAATGAACGAATGTGCGAATATAAAACCAACTTTACCTCAATCAAATTGTGAAATGTTGTGTATGAATTACAAGAAATGTCAAATTGTTTGACAAAAACTCAAAATAATCTCAAATGAAATTAATGGTGTTACAATTATGATGAATCTGGTCAAAATTGGTAATTGTAAAGTTTGATGAAAACACCGTTATTTAGGGTAAGAAACAAACAAGTAGAGGTAAAGTTTGTTTTATATTCGCACATTCGTTAATTTAGAAGTTTCTATATTGTTTGGCATGTTACTTTGAATATTCGATCGGAATTAGCATGCAAGTTTGACTTCTAAACAACATTAACACTATCTAATTCACTGTGAACAATGTTGTACTTTGCTGCTAATATTCATTCATTTTCTTGTCGGCTTGGTCTCTTTATTAATCCGGGGACGCCACAGCGGAATGAACCGCCAACTTATCCAGCAAGTTTTTACGCAGCGGATACCCTTGCAGCCGCAACCCATCTCTGGGAAATGCTGCTAATATAATTTCCCTATTTATAATTTGCAAAATACACTTTTCTGAAATTATATTATTAAGGGAATGTCTGAATATCCGAATATAAAACCACCGTTACCTCTACAGACATTAGTATGTTATAATTGACGACACGCATAATATCCATATGGTGCAAATGAATGAAACTCCGCTGTTTTCTCTTAGTGACTGTATCAACACGCCTACAGTTACTTTTCTCGACACAATACAGTTAACTTAACGGACACATGACCCGCTGTCGCCACCGCACATCTATACTGTTGCTGTTTAACGGAGCAGCTTGTCCAAACCCACTCGAGTTGCCCGGAGTCTCACACAGAGCCGCGAGGGTGTTTGGGAGACCGCGCCGCGCTGCTCACCTTCTCTCCGGGGTTCAGCACATCTGGGCTGCGGCTCCGTGCGCTCTCCTCGGCGGACAGAGGGTGGCAGATCTCCTGGATGGACTTCTGCCCGGAGGAGGGCAGTGATCGCGGGGTACCGCCGTTGCTCATGGCGCTGCACTGCTCTGATCGCGCAGCTGTTTTTATTTCACTGCCGCACGAACCGAACCGAGGAGCCAAACATCTGTCAGCTGACGGACACCGCGCAGAACCGGAACACAACCGGTCAGCTGACGCGGAACACTTCCGGAAAAAAAGCACCTGTTTTCAAATTAAAAGCCCAACTTTTTCGCTTAAAAGTCTTCAAATATTCTGATGGTTTATTTGACTTTTTATTATTAACAATAGGCGAAGCGGTGGCACAGTGGGTGGTGCTGCGGTCACTTCACAGCTAGAAGGTCACTGGTTCGAGCCTCGGCTGGTTCAGTTGGTATTTCTGTGTGGAGTTTGTATGTTCTCCACGTGTTTGGTAAGTTAAATTGTCTGTAGTGTACGTGCGTGAATGAGAGTGTATGGAGGTTTTCCAGTGATGGGTTGCGGCTGGAAGTGCATCCGCTGCATAAAACATATGCTGGATAAGTTGGCGGTTCATTCCGCTGTGGCGACCCCAGATTAATAAAGGGACTAAGCCGAGAAGAAAATGAATGAATGTTATTCTTAATTTATTAACTAAATTAGCTGGATAAGTTGGAGGTTCATTCCACTGTGGCGACCCCAAATTAATAAAGGGACTAAGCCGAAATGAATGAATGAATGAATAAAGATTTGTTTGCGATAAATAATAGTTTTATTTTAATTTTATTTTAATAATAGTTTTATTTTAATAATAGTTTTATTTTAATTTTATTTTAATAATAGTTTTATTTTAATTTTTCGCATTTGCGCAGTTCTGAACAGCAGGTGTCGCTAGTGTCTGAGTTCTGAACGCTTCGAATCCCTGAATCATTTGGCAAAGCTGCTGATTCGAATCTTTGAGGAAAAAAAGCTTCGTTTCTCCCTTCACTAGGCGGCAGTGATGTGTTACTGTGACTGAAGAAAACACAGAGGAAACAAAAGCAGAAGAAACACTCCCTCCATGTGGACGTGGTCTGTTTCTGGAGAAGCTTGAGCTGGCAGTCGCGAGAGTAAGGTATGTTATAGGAATTTATTTGTAAATGTAGAGAGAGTAACATTAACGTTACATTTAGCCGACTGTTTTTGTTGTTATGTGCATAAATATTGATTTTCTTTTATCTGACCCAATGATTAAACACACTACCCATCTGACCCTGAGCAGGGGAAAGATTTAGTTTACTCTTATATGAGGGTCAGTTTAATAACATATTTTTGTTAAAAGCATGAAAGTGGTTTTATTTTGGTTTTATTTACTGAAATGTTTTCTTCGTTGTGTTTCATTTTCAGACAAAGGATCGAGTGTCCGGGCGAGAAACACGTGCGCCAGATTCAGCTCATCTCTTAATAAACGTTTTATAAAATATAAATGTTCCCTTTCTTGTGTTGTGGTGTTTAATTTGTACTTTTATGCTGTTCTGGTCTGTGAAATCCAATAAATTTGTTTTTTAACACATTTGTGTTGGTATTGCGTGAATTATGTTCCCTACAAAGACTTGTTTAAGTTATACACTTTGCAAACTAATTGCAAGTCTTACAAAGTGCAATGTGATTTGTTTAAATAGATAGATAGATTTAGAGAAATAGATCTCTCCCTCTCTCTCTCTCTCTCTCTCTCTCTCTCTCTCTCTCTCTCTCTATATATATATATATATATATATATATACATACACATACAGGGTGGGTATGGATACACCTTAATAAACTTATTAGGAATTTCACAAGATGATTGTGTGCTTAGTTTTAAATGTAGCTTCATTCTTTCGTGTGTTATTTACAAACCCCCTCACATATAATAAAGTGCCACAAACAGGACGTTGATATCACCAACCTTTCCCATTTTATTAAGGTGTATCCATATAAATTGCCCACCCTGTGTGTGTGTGTGTATATATATATATATATATATATATATATATATATATATATATATATATATATGTGTGTGTGTGTCTATATATATATGTGAGTGTATGTATATATGTACAGTATATACACCACACAAAGCATCGTGGTGTACGATAAAAGTTTTCTATTTAAAAGTTTTTTTCTATTTCGAATTTGGCATCCTACAACACAACATGTTTTCGTTTACCTGTGTGACGTAGGTTGGTATTTCCTTTATAGGTGAATTGAGTTAACTAGAAAGATATATTTCTGTACATTTTTTGCTCTCAATCTTATCGTTAACTTTTTTGTGTTACATTGTACATATTTTTATGCACAAAAAAAAGTTCTCAGACAATAGCTATATTTAATATTTTCTTGGCTGAAATTTGGTTTATTGTTGAATCTCTTAAACTTACTAATAATAAGAAAAATAACATGCTTCTTAAAGCTTATGATGACCATCGATTGAGGCATTGTATGTATATATATATATATATATATATATATATATATATATATATATATATATATATATATATATATATATACATACATACATAGTTACTTTACAATTATATTAATAATGTGACGTTTTATTTACCGGTTATATTTCTTTGTTTATATATATATATATATATATATATATATATATATATATATATATATATAAGCAAAAAAGATTTTTTAAAAAATAATATAAACAAAAAATATATAAACAAGAAAGCTAAATAAATATAAAAAATCCACTCTTTCTCCAGTCCAGCAGGTGTCGCCGCACAGCCTCACAGTAGCAAACACCTTCTGAAGAACAAGACTTCTGCATGATGGGGACACGCTTGAAGGTGAGAAACAACAGAACTGTACTGTAAATCATTGCTTACTAGAATTATACTGTACATTTATTTGCATTTGATAAGCATAGCAATTAATCGCGAACCTTGTAAATGCCTTTGCTGATGTTAAATTAAATAAAAAGACGAGCACAGATTAATTATATTATAAAATAATGCGTATAATCAATGTTTTCATATTAATAATTATTATTAATATAATGTATTCCATAAGGTGCTCCGGGTGTTCAAAGATCTGCACAGGACCAGAAGAGATGTTTTTAGAGATGATAACAGAGCTCTGACAGGTATCAGCCAGTATTTTAGTCAGCCTTAAACATTATACCTGTAGTATAGTATAGACAGTATCTATTTGTACTTCTCTTATACTGTTTGTAGTTATTGCTTTTTATACACTTGCATTGTCAAATACAAGTTTATTTATTTTATGTGTGGTTCTTTTGTTAGGAATGTTATTTTCCTACAAGATTGTAGTTTCTGTCCTGTTTTTTTTCACTTGTTTATGTTCCAAATCTAAATATTGTCAAATTAATCAATGTTTTATTTATTTAAATAGTGTGTTTGTCTTGTCTCAGTAAGTTTTTTTTCTTCTTTGGCTACGAAGCTGCCAGGGTTAAAATAAATGAAGAATTTAAAAGAAACAAGAATGAAACGTCAGATGATAATATTAAAGAGGTAAGTCCCATAAGAACCCCTGTTTTTGCTTTTTAATGAAAGTTGAATAAATGCGAAAGTTTGCGACTTTTATCTTAAAATTGCAAGTTGCTCTTGGAGGTGCTGGTTCTTAAAAAACTCAAGTACATAATAATAATATTAAATAATATTAATAATAATTCAGGCGAGGCAGTGGAGCAGTAGGCAGTGCTGTCACCTCACAGCAAAAAGGTCACTGGGTCAAGCCTCGGCTCAGTTGGTGTTTCTGTGTGGAGTTTGCATGTTCTCCCTGCCTTCGCGTGGGTTTCCTCTGGGTGCTCCGGTTTCCCCCACAGTCCAAAGACATGCGGTACAGGTAAATTGGGTAGGCTAAATTGTCCGTAGTGTATAAGTGTGTGTGTGGATGTTTCCCAGAGATGGGTTGCAGCTGGAAGGGCATCCGCTGCGTAAAAACTTGCTGGATAAGTTGGCGGTTCATTCCGCTGTGGTGACCCCGGATTAATAAAGGGACTAAGCCGACAAGAAAATGAATGAATGAATAATAATAATTAATTTTATTTGAAAATGGCACCTTTCTAGACACCCAAGGTCGCCTTACAATAAGCGTCAACAGCCATACTAGAACAAATTAAAACATATAATGAAACATTACCAAACAAGCATTGGCCAAACATGTATAAACACACATTGTTAATATAAAAATAACATGATAAAAAACAAAGCCTGCTTAAAAAGATGGGTCTTTAGACGAAATTTAAATGTGTTAAAACTATCACTGCCTCTTAGATCCAGGGGAAGCGAGTTCCACAGAGTTGCACAGAACAACATGAGCATTTATAGCAAATAAACAAATGTAAATATCCCGCTCGGTTTATGAGCCCTGTTGAGCGAGTTCTTACACTCCTATGAACTCGCTCTGCAGACACGCTCGTGTCTGTATCCAGAAGTATCACTGTAACAGCCGAGAGGAGAGGAAAAGTCATGCCAGCAGGTCAAATGTTCACAGTGAGAGAGAGAGAAATGAAGTTTACGTCCATTTTCTCAATCGCAGTGAAATAGAGGCTTCTACTGTTACTTCAGTGTTAGGTAATGACTGTCCAGCAAACACGCAGTGAAGAGTTTCTGCTCTTTAATTACTCGCGGTCGCCTCCCTCGCCATAGTAAGCTGCTCTGAAATAGCACATATAAACTTTCGGCTTGGTTTTTCAGACTTTGCTCACATACGGTTATTAGCGTACTATATAGTATGGAAGTATGCGATTTTGGACTCAAGTTTTTAGCCTTAGTTTTAGCCTTAGTTTCTAAATTGTGAGGGGAAAAGTAGTTTCAAAGTATACAAAGTTTTTGTATTTTTTTTTTTTTAATTCTGTGGCAGACGCATGTTTCTAAAAAACACGAATAATAGGAGAAACAAAGCTTTAAAAAAATGCTAATATTATTTTGCACTTTCTTTTCAGATGCTTAAAATGGCACGAGCGGTTGAGACCATTCTTCGTGAAAGTGTAATCCAGGCAGAGCATGTGGATGAAAATAAAATCGGTACGTAATTATGTAGACCAGTGGTTCTCAAACTTTTTTTACCAAGTACCACCTCAGAAAAAAATATTGCTCCAAGTACCACCATAATGACCTGTTAGCACAGGGATATAAAAACACGGGATACGACCCCAACAACTATTACAAATATGGGGAGGAATTTAGCTTCAAATGATAGAATACATAACAAACATTAGAAAATTAAAAATAAAACAAAAGGTTTAGCCTATTAAAATCAATTTACTAATCACATCAGTGTCATCGTACACGATAAAGGGTTAAAAGTGTTTTTTTTTTTTACTTTAATTATTTAGCGATTACTTCGCGTACCACTTGAAGGAAGCCTGTGTACCACTAGTGGTAGGCGTACCACAGTTTGAGAACCACTGATGTAGACAGTTGTACGTAGACAATAGTTTTTTTGCTGTGAACATCAGCTAGTAGAATTATTTTTAAAGATTGAAACAACATTTATGCTGTGTTCACACCAAACGAGGAACGTTCGAATAAAACGCGTTATTTGCACGTAAATAGACGAGTGAACATTTGAGTTTACGCTCTTAATTGGCGCATCAATATCCGGTTCATTCGCACGTCAAAATCACTTCACAACAGACACTGATTCGCGTGATGGGCAGGGCTTCTGTCTGCCTGGTGACTGTAGCTTCATTGCTAAATGGCTAACATGGATTTTATTAAGCTGTGTTTAGGTGCTTTATGAAGGCTGAAAAACAGCATTGATTTGTTTGGAGCAGTGTCTGGGTCCACTAAATCCTTTCAGAGGTGCACCCAGCTCTGTGAGCTCATAAACTCCTCCAGAAACAACCTGGATGATGGAAGCTTTCAGCGGGGCTTCTGACTGAGCCGAGTAGAGTTTGATAAACTGTTGTCAGTGTAGGCTGGAGGATTTTCCTCCGGTACCTCAACAAAAGGCGCTACGTCATAATCACGCCCCCACAAGAGCAAGCTCCTGATTGGTTAACGCGGCGCGAATGTTAAGTTCAGTTCATATATTCGAACTTGAGTGATTCACTCGAAACGCGTGTTAAGCGCTAAACACTCAATTCACGCTGTGTCATTCGTGCATATCACGCCATTTGCACTGCGTTATTCGCGCGTATCGCACCGCAGGATGTCTGTTCTCACCTTTGCATTGGCTTAACATGTAAATCACTCGCACTTGATGCTTCTTCTGCAACTGGTGTGAACGCAGCATTAGAATCACCCCCTACGTTCACCTCAAATTACCAAAGTCTGTGTGAAATCAAATTTTACAGTGTTTATTTTGCTAGCCCAAAACACCTTGTTATTCTTTAGGTCAGGGGTCACCAATCCTGGTCCTGGAGGGCCGGTGTCCCTGCAGGGTTTAGCTCCATCTTGCCTCAACACACCTGCCTGGATGTTTCAAGTATACCCAGTAAGACCTTAATTAGCTTGTTCAGGTGTGTTTGATTAGGGTTGGAACTAAAATCTGCAGGACATCAACCCTCCAGGAACAAGTTTGGTGACCACTGCTTTAGGTCAATAAACTGTTTTGGTAATCGTCAGTTAAAGTTTAACCATTTGCTTCTGTGTTTGGAGTGGTGGTCCGTCTCTGTTGATGTCAGTTTGGTGGTTTCAGCCACAATATTCTTAGCTATGCCCCTCATAGTTTGCCATGTGAAAGATGGAAAGAAAAGGAAAGCCCCGCCCCTAATCGATATCCTGTTTTAATTGAAAGTAGATCAACAAACTGAAACAAGTCTCAGCAACTACTGGCTCACACCATACCTGCCACTCACCTGATGTGGTAATGCCCATATATCAATCATTATTGGTGGGCGGGGGGACCGCACTCCTACGTCAAGTTACGTTCGGTCTCAAAGCCCCTCTAATTGGTCCACCGTTTTTATGTTGTTAAATTGAAAAAAAAGGACTAGGTGTGTTTATATTACCCCAATATGACGGTCAATACACTATACCTACACACACGTCTGTCCAAACAGCTTGAAAAGTAGATTTTTCACCATAGGTGCCCTTTAAGCAATGTAATAAAATGTTATCAATTGTTATACTTAAGCTAATAAGATGTATAAAGTGTCCAGGTTTTTAAAACTGACTGATTGTTTCCTCTGGCTAAAATGTATTTCTTATATTTGCAGTGTTGCGGCCGCGGAAGAGTCTCCTGCTAGAAAACGTACCTTACTGTGATGCACCCAGTAAAAAGACATGACCCGGATTTACCTGCATGACCCAGGTCTATCTGTGATATTGGACGATGAAACGCAGTCATAAAGATGACTCAGTATTCTTCCATATTTCATTTCCACTGGAATATCACACACAAGCTACAAAAAACGTGTATATTTGGTGAGGCTGATGTTATTGTGCTCAATATAAAGCATTGAATTGCCACTTTGTAAATAGCATTTGTATGGATAAAAGTGTTGAATAAACTGGAAAAGAAAAGGGATTATTCAGACAGAATTGTGTCTCTTTTGTGTGCTAACGTGATTTACATTATGATTTTTCATATTTACCTGTTGCTAACATGTTTATAACATGCTTTAACATCTAGTGAACAGGTTTCGGCACATTGTAAACATGAATTAGCATGTTGCTAACATGTTTCTACCTTGTTTAACATGTTTTCTACATGAATTAGCATCCAAGGGTTAATGTTACACTAGTATGTTTATATTATAAACTTACTAGCCTAACATTAACTTTAACACCTTTATAATGCTTTACCAGTTTTCAGGATACATCATCCATATGCACTGGGACGCATCGTCAGTGGTGTATCCTGGAGTCACTAGTTGTTTCGGGTTTTACATTTATTTACTGAATGCAAGCCACATTATTAAAACACAATAGTTTCTGAAACTTATGACAAAAGTAAATGTTAATTCTGGTAAATATATTTTTTTAATTAATTGAAACATAAAAAATTATGATACAACATCTGTAGGCATAATCGAGGTACCACTTTTAAAGAGGTTTATTACCCTCATGGTCTTCACATTTGTTTATATGGTCCATAAGACGCTGTATTTAAAACAGACAAACAAAAAAAATCACATTTTCCACAATAGTCAACTCATGTCTATTCATTTAAAGAATGTAAAATACTTTTGAAATTTCTCTTAAGGAAATGCCTTTATAGATTAAATCATTTCTGTCATTATTAAGTACATACAAAGTACATCACCACAAAAACAATCATAACCATTAAAACTGAAAGGAATGTGTAGATTCTACAGCACGTCTTCATCTTGAGGGATCTCAGAATATGAGTTTCTTCGGCTTTTCCCAAGGAAATCCTTCACGTCCAAAGTGTCCATAGCAGGCTGTTTTCTGGTAGATTGGTTTCTTTAGATCAAGCTCCCTGTAAAAAGAAATTATTCCTTAATTAAAGCTGTCAAACTTATCATAAGTAAGTTTTAATAAAAACTTCAAACTTATCATAAAAAATTCTGTTGCCTATTTAATAACATGCATATAATATGAAAGGGTAATTTTCCATATTATTCATTCATTCATACATTTTCTTGTCGGCTTATTCCCTTTATTAATCCGGGGTCGCCACAGCGGAATGAACCGCCAACTTATCCAGCAATTTTTTACACAGCGGATGCCCTTCCAGCCACAACCCATCTCTGGGAAACATCCACACACATTCACACACACACTCATACACTACGGACAATTTGGCCTACCCAATTCACCTGTACCGCATGTCTTTGGACTGTGGGGGAAACCGGAGCACCCGGAGGAAACCCACGCGAAGGCAGGGAGAACATGCAAACTCCACACAGAAACGTCAACTGAGCCAAGGTTCGAACCAGCGACCTTCTTGCTGTGAGGCAACAGCACTACCTACTGCGCCACTGCCTCGCTAATTGTCCAAATTAAAATATAATATATTTCATTTTTTTGAGGGTGTTAAAGTTCCCCATTATGCTTTTTCAGAAATTATCTATCAATCATGTAGTGTGTAATACATTTGTTGTTAAATGTAAAGGCTCTGCAAAATGTGCACATGCAAATATAGACTTCCAAAAGAGAAAGTAATTTCTGAACTACCTAAAACAGAACCCATTAATTAGATTTATGCGAAGCACAAACATGCAGGCTTGTGACAGATTTGCATAAGGTTAATAGTCTGCATAGGTTGAACAATGTCTAAAGCCCCATTCAGAACACCAGCGACTTTATTGTGATGTTTTGGCCTCTAGTGGACGTTCCTGCTTCTGGTTGCCTAGATACATTTATGAATGACGTTGACTCTCTAAGTATATAATATCCAAAATCACTCACTTCACAAGCTATGAAGTTAACCCGACAAGAGGCAAAGTGTTGGCTTGGTGTGTTCCAGACTTAAGAACCAATTAAGTTATTTTGTAGTACATTTACATTTAGTCATTTAGCAGACGCTTTTATCCAAAGCGACTTACAAATGAGGACAAGGAAGCAATTTACACAACTATAAGAGCAACAATGAATAAGTCCTGCAGGCAAGTTTCAGGTCTGTAAAGTCTAAGAAGGAAAGTATTAGTAATGTTTTTATTTTTTTTTGGGTACAGTTAGTGGTATATCAAGAGAGGCAATTGCAGATTAAGAAGGGAAGTAAAGACTAAATAGTTGAGTTTTTAGTCGTTTCTTGAAGACAGTGAGTGACTCTGCCGTTCTGATGCAGTTAGGGAGTTCATTCCACCAACTGGGCAGATTGAGCGTGAGCGTTCGCGAAAGTGATTTCTTCCCTCTTTGGGATGGAACCACGAGGCGACGTTCATTCACAGAACGCAAGTTTCTGGAGGGCACATAAATCAGATAAGAAGAGCAGATAAGAAGGAGCAAAGCCAGAAGTCGCTTTGTAGGCAAAACAGAGCTTTGAATTTGATGCGAGCAGCGACTGGCAGCCAGTGCAAACGGATAAGCAGTAGAGTGACATGTGCTCGTTTAGGTTCATTAAAGACCACTCGTGCTGCTGCGTTCTGGAGCAGCTGAAGAGGTTTGATAGAATTAGCTGGAAGCCCAGCTAGTAGAGAGTTGCAGTAATCCAGTTTGGAGAGAACAAGAGCTTGAACAAGGAGTTGAGCTGCATGTTCAGATAAGAAGGGTTGGATCTTTCTGATGTTATAGAGTGTGAATCTGCAAGATCGAGCAGTTCTAGAAATGTGGTCAGAGAAGTTTAGTTGGTCATCAATCGTTACTCCAAGGCTTTTCACCATTTTGCATGCAGTAATGGTTGCCCCATCCATCTGGATTGAAAAGTTATGGTAGAGTCGGGTTGGCAGAAACTACAAGCATTTCTGTTTTTGCGAGGTTAAGCTGAAGATGATGATCTTTCATCCAGTGTGAAATGTCCAACAGGCAGGCTGAGATGCGAGCTGAAACCGAGGGTAAATACTTAGAGAGAATTCAAGAAATGGGAGTCGAGTGACGCCAGTGTTGCGGGTAGATCACGTGAAAATAATAAAATGGCGGATGTGGTACATATGGATTCCATTCATACTACTCACATTCATACTGTATGGAATAAACTTTTCTAACAGTTGAGTAGTAAACTCAAATTTAAATGAAGTATCAACTGAGTAGTAGGCGATTTTGGATGCAGCCTTAAAGCTGATTTATACTTCTGAGTCAAGCGCACACGTATGCTCCGGCACAGCCTGCGCGTGGACACATAGCATTCGCCTTGGCCATCACGCACCTCACAAAAAATGTAACTACATGTTGCAACGATGCGTATCGCAAGCTCTGTGATTGGTCGGCTTGGTAGCACTGACAAGTCTGGGTGGGACAGAGCCGCGCGAACCCGTTGGTGCGAATGTTTATAAGTGTCGAATCTCATGAAGGAGGTCCAGATGGAAAGTTTTGGGTTTACCTTATGATTAAAGTTGATGCAGGTCCCCCGGTTTTCACCTCAAAATGAACAAGTTTTAGCTACTTCTACAGTAAGGTAGCGTTCAGAAAAAACAAAACACCAGTGAAAGACTCGACATAGAGGAACATAAACAACTACTTCCACCTACTGGAAGTGTTGTTGCAAGAGCAACACAAACAGCGCGCAGAAGTATAAATGCATGACAACGTGCAAGGCATGCGCCGTGGGTCACGTCGATCACTTGACGCAGAAGTATAAACCAGGCTTCAATGTTTGTACTTACTTGACAATGACCCCTGGCCTAAGGTCAAAATTCTTCTTAACAATCTCCAAAAGATCATCCTCATCTCTCGTTGATGTGCCGTAATGAAAAACAGACACTGACAAAGGGTGACTAATACCAATAGCATATGAGATCTATAACAAACAAACAAACAAGTATTAAGAACAGTGTAATAATGCTTTTATATTTTACACTCTGACAGAAAATACTGGATGTGTTCACACTTGGCCTGTTTGGTTTACCTGAAACAAACTTTCTTAGGCCCCGTTTACACTAATGCGTTTTAGTTTGAAAATGCATACGTTTTGCTACGGTTACGCCATCCGTCCACACTACGCCGAAGTTTTCGAAAACGGAGCGTTTTGGAAACGCTGGAGAGGCCGTTTTCATTCTAAAAAGCGACTGCTTTGTCTCAGTGTGGATGGGGAAAAACGGAGACATCTGAAAACGGAGGCGAGGCTGTTGAGATTCGCTACCTGATTGGGGCTTTTGCGTCCTTGCGTATCTTTCCCTTATTCGTCAAGCCCCTATCACATGACTATAACACATGGCTTTAACGCTTACGCAAGACAGCAGACCAGCATTCAATGTCAACAACAACATGGACACAGAAATGGGAGCGTTGTTTGCACTATTGTCTGTTTTAGGCGCCATTGTGCAGTTATTCATTTGTTACGTTTAGTAACAACTCAACCTCGTCGTCTGTCCACAAAAATACCTCTCTTGCTTTCTTTGCCATCGCGTTCATTGTTCAACCGGCGTTTGTTGACTAACAATAACCAAATGCCGAGCGAGACACATGCTTTCTGTTCATACTAAAATGCGCATGCCAAGAGTGCGCGAATGGTCACGTGACATACGTTTTTGGTGGCGTAGTGTGGACGGAGATATGTTCAGAAACACTAGTGTAGACGCGGATGATTTTGGATCTAAAACGCCGTTTTAAAACTAAAATGCACTAGTGTAAACGAGGCCTTAATGCAGTTCATTTGATTAAGAGTGAACATTACCATCTGAACCCAGACAAGTGGATCGTGACTACTGAAGAAAAAGAATCTCGATACACTTCAGAATGAATTCTGGATTGGTTCGACTGAATATGAACACAACACAGACCGAAGACATCTTAAACCAAAAAGAGGACACAATACCATAAGATGCGTCCATCATTAAATGGACAGTTCAATCCAGTTAGGTACAGTACTCACAACATTGTTTTGGATGTTCGATAAATCACAAAATATTGTCAGTATCCTAAAAGCTACAATAGATGATTGTGTTGAGAAACAAT